ATCTGCATTCTCAAGTTCGCATTTGTTATCACAGAAGAATTACATTAGTAGACACTGTAGCAAAGTCGTTCTATGGTTCCATTGTAAGGGTGGGTATTTTTTGTTTCTTTTAGAATTACTTGATGCTTTCACAGATATAAAACAATTCTGCTGTTATAAATGGACTGCATTTTGTAGTGCTGTAATCACATACCCATGAACGCAGCCTTAATGATTTAGAAGGCTGTCAAAGGTTGCCCCAAACTGAATTCTGAAGTTAATATCTAATAAATGTTCAGACTATCAAAAATACTAAGAACCTACCAATTTCCACTGGGTTCAATTCAACAGAGCCCATCCTGAGTTTTTGAAAAGCAGACACAAGGTCAAGCATTCATACACACATACAGACTCTGTAACTAAATCTTCGTTGTACTACAATTTAGCAATCAGCAGGCATTCTACAAACAGCCTACCTCGTGATTGCAGACACCACCCAAACTGAAGATGTAGAACTGTAATTCTATGCTCCAGCCACAAGAGGGCAAAAGTAGCCCACCATTTTCAGCTATATTTGAAATACTGAATAACTGCTTCAGTATTTCTGAATTTAAATGCTGGTCTGATCTGGGGGCAAAAAAAAAAAAAAAAAAAAAAAGATTAAGGCGCAGTTTATAAATAGTCAACAGCCTCTAATGCAGAATATTTGATTTGCTGTCTTCTTAATTTCTTTCACAGCATCAATCACACAAACTGAATCCCAGGATGCTTTTGAACATTACTGTGGTTGTTAATATAAATCTAAGTATTAAAAGCGTGAAATATATCATTAAAGGGTATAGTATTTATTTTCAGTTAACATATTAAGCATAAATTGGTTATATGTAGGCAAGATTCTAGACAACGTGGACAAACAGCAACCACAATAAAAGTATTAAAATAACAACTGGTAAAGAACAAGAAAGTATTAAACAAGATACAATAACTATGTTGATGTAAATTTACAGACATGATGTTGTGACAGTTTGCTATTATTGACAATTATACCAGAATTAGGCCAAAACCATGTGTGTGCAGTCACCATCCTTGAAAGTGTTCAAGAAACGAGTAGAAGTGGCACCAAGGGACATGGTTTAGTGGGCATGGTGGTATTGGCTGCTGGTTGGACCAGGTGACCATGGAGGTCTTTTCTAGCCTCAATGATTCTATATACCTAAGCATTTTTGTTGTATTCTTACCTCAGCGAGGATAAACATCCTGCAAAAACAAGTTTTTAGAAGTTTACGCCTTCTTATAAATTCAATAAATATATGTTTAATTTGGGTACCCAGAAGAAAAGAGAGCTCTTCCACCTTTTGTCTCCCTTTCTCCTTCACCTCACCTAAGTGTGGGGTCTATTTCCTCAGAAAGGAATCTGGAACTGATGGCTCTTCCACAACCCCGGATTACCATCCCTGCCGACAACTGTTTGCCCATTACGATCCCACCAAGTTCCTTTGTGGTGCAATCAGATAGAACCCTTCCTCTCTCCTCCCCACCCCGGAGATACTCAGCAGCCCCAGCACCTCCCCACATAATGAGCTAATTACATAATAGTAAATCCTATCAAATTAAGTGATAAAAAGCATCAACCTGACAACTGATAGAGAAACCACTTCTAGCCAAAAAATCATAACAAACATTATTTTACAAGAAATTTCTAAGAAGCTTTGATTTGATTTTATTTTTTTTATCACTAGTCAGCCCTGAGAATTAATCTCAACTATTTGAAATTACCTTAATTTCAATGTTTGGTTAAAAAGTTCTTTGTTAAATCCAGCCATAGAAATGCTTGGGTGAAGTTTTGAGGCCTCATTTACTTTAAATAAGAACACAGCATTATCCTTCTTTTGTGGAACTGTAAAACACCCTGGGTTTTGTTGCTTTAGAAGTATTTTCAATACAGGACTTTGAATGAGAAAAACACAGACATACTTACACCCAGTAGGAAAATTGTAATAGAACTTGCTGGGGTACAAGCTTGCTGTTTGTAATCACAGACTTGGTAAATCAAATAACTGCCAATACAAAATTCTAAGTTCAAAAGTGTTATAAATGTAGGCTTTAAAAATCTAGTATTGGTAATTTAAAGAATGTTTCAAACTATGCTCTCACATATGCTGCAAGTAATAATATTAGAACAGAACCTAGGAAGCAGTTGTTGTGTGATTTGGGTATGCCTTCAGGCCACGAGCACAGATCATCTTTTTTGGATGGCAACAGCCACTAATGAAGTTCATGTCTAGAAAAGTTTTTTAAGCTTGAGACATCAAGAAAGAGAAAAGAGTCAATTTCAAACAAATAATTACACAGCCCAGCATCCCGATTATGGTCACTGGCACAGGGCCCTATTTCAGGAAAGCACTACTAGCATGTTTAAGTGCCATTTCAATCAGTTCTAGGAGAGCTTCATCAATTTATCACTAACCTAAATTACAGCTGTTGACGAATGCTGACATCACAGCTTGCCAATACCAGAACAGGGAAGTCTTACCACAAGCCAGCTTTCTTGCTGGATGTTTTCACTGTCTTTGTAATTGTAAGAACTCATCTCAGGGTCACAGGGTCAAATGAGCTCTTGAGCCAACGCAAAATGGTTGGAAGAAGAAAAGGAAGTTTTGGCTTCACAAACCTGAAGTCAAATGAGGAAATAAGATGACTGAGGTTTTTCTGATCACAGTTCTGAAAAGCAGATAAACAGAAGCATCAAAAGACAAAGTATACAAAACTGGAATGGCACCAGATTTCAACATGCGCTTGTGACAGTCTCATGCACTATTCTTACCAGGACCAGCTGTGCTCACATAGCTAACAGTATTACATGTACTACTGAGGTCATTCAGAAAGCTGCATATTATCGGCAAGATTAGCAAGGACTGTGAAGTACAGAATAATATTTTAAGATAGAAATTTAACCATATACAAGAAAGTCTTTGCCACAGTTTAGACCCAAGGTGGTCAAAATCGGCATATATGTGAAGTTAAGGGTTCTCCTTTAATTTGTTGATGTATTTACTTTAGGAAGAACAATGTAAGCCAAGATTAAAGAAATAACACAATCATGTTATCTGACTTTTGCTCCTCACAATGCTATGCAGAACTGAGCAAGCCATTCCTCTAGTAACACTTGCTAATTGAGAGCTGGATACCAGAACTGCTGCTGCTATTATTCCACTCTTCTTAAATTGCTTTGTCAGACTTCCGTCACTTGAGACAAGTTCCATTATAGCAGACATTAGGTGCATTTAGGTATTTGCCAGATAATAGAGTACGGTTCTTAGGCATTGGTCTGCACAGATTAGTCTAATCTGTTGCTGTTGGAGACCTCGTTTCCAGCAGAAAGGTAAACAATAGTTTCAAATTACTTGCACTAAAGTTAAGCTACAGGTACTCCATGTCTTGAGGTGAAAAGAAAGCCAAAAGAGAACTCTCGCATTTCCAATATTGTCTTCAGCTCAGCTCAGGTCTGCATCTGAATCGAACTTCTTCTTTCTCTAGAACTATTTCTAATAGATTTGGTGCCATTTAAAATGCTCTATCCAAAAATGATTAAGAGAAATAGAAGTTCAGTTAGTAATATTAAATGCTAATGTTACTTCCTGAATTCGAAGCACAAATAGTTAACATTTCAATATTAAGTAACACTTTCTTATTTCCACACTGAAATAGGTTTTCAAGAAGAAAAATCAAGCAATTTGAGATTTCTGGGCTTCTATGAAAAGGAAGGCAATAAACCCATAGAGTTGTATTTTGTTTGTTTTTAATGACATAATGGGTATGATATATCTGGTAAAATCCTAAGCTAAGCTGCACTTTGAAATACCTTACAAACATTCAAAACTACATTAAATCATCCATTACTAAAACTGAAAAATAGAATAGATTTCTAAGGAAGATCTTAAGCTAAAGGAAGAGGAGAGCACATGTTAGGAAGGGGTGCAGTGATCAAGAATGGTCTGGAAGCAGTTAAGATAGGTCTTCAAAAGTTTTAACACCAACCTGGAGCACTAACCTAACTGCATTTGGGCAACTAGAAAGTAGAAGAACTTACACCGTTTTTTCCATGTTTCCCTCACTGCCTTTTGTTTGTTTGTTATTACATTTAACCTACACTGACAGTAGCATTCTTCCTTCATGTCCTTGTGAGTGATTCTAATAGAAACCAAATGCCAGGGCCTGCATCAGCCTGGTAACCGAGCCTGAAGACTTGGGCTTCAGTTCTTCCCTCCAGTGAATATCAAAGTACTTCATACAAAACAACTGTTTCCTCAAGAAATCTGGAAACCAACACCAGAATATGTAACAGCTCAGTAGCTAGACATTACTTCAAGAAGAAATTGCTAGTTTAAGATTTATAAATTTTTAAAGCTTTGTCCTATAGTACTTGCTTTTCCATCTTGTATATTAAAACCATTTTCTTTGTACCAGATGAAACAATTCAGTTCAGTTCTTTGATTATTACAGATATAGTTTGCTTCAGAATAAAACCTATTATTCATGTCAGCCATGTATCAAAACTCAGAATAGCCTTACGCCTGGTTCACAATGAGAAGAGAGGCGATACCTGAATTGAAGCACTAAGTAGACAAGTAGACAAATAATATTTTAAACAGAAATGAATTAAAATATATTAAAAAGATTACAGTTTTAAGCTTCTTTTAATGAAACAATTGTTCAAACTGAAGCCAGTTTAATACCAGTCCATTTATTTTCATGGAGAGCAACGTTTTAGAAAATGAGGTCATACTCTTAAAATCATTAGAATGTAAATAGCTAATCTGTTTCATGTATCAAAAACTATTTTGCATGTTAAGAATTATAGACTTTAAAAGTAAGGATCTTAGTTGCCTTCAGTGAAGCCTGAAGTACTTCATATTAGCTGAAAATCTTACACAACTCAGAACTTACAGTTTATTTTTTAACTGCAAAAAATATCTAAACTTTTCTGAACATATTTATTAAAATATATAGGAAAAGTTCACTTTCTCCACAAAAATTAGTTTATAATACTTCACATATTTACAGTTTGAGTGAAAAATCATAATCCTTCAAATCTAGGGATAAAATCATAACTGATATATGATCATTGTTTAATACAAATAATGACAACGCCAGTAATTCTTCAAGTCCTGTTACAGTAAAATAAAGGCAAACCATCCTTCTCCTACTCTAGCAGGCTGGAGGTGAAGTTACTTTTCACCATTAGAAACTGGGATTCTCGGTGGGATCTCTTCAGTTTTGCACGACGGTTCTGGAACCAGATCTAAAATGGAAATAAAAGGCATCTTTTTCAGAAACACAGCGCTGTAAACAGAGCGGGCTTTGAAGTGCAAAAGCATTCACACAACCCTGCAGTATTTTGTCAGTAATTTGGAAGTTTAATAGAAGGTCAGAATTTTCAGTTGATGACCGGCACAAATTAAGACTAAGAAAATAATGCCTTCAGCTTCACTGGAGAATGAGACTCAGCTTCACCCACAAAAACACAAATATCAACTTTGGTGACACTCAGATCCTGTTCAGAATTCCTGACCATCTGGAATTCACACACGTCTTCAGGTGTTACTTCAACTGCTTGATGAACTGCAACATCAAGCTTCCCATTAAGCCAAACATGAATGGCATCAAAAGCATAATAAATACCAATAAATATCAAATTTCAATTCTTATTGTATGCTTATCACATATGAGTTGTTAGAAATCAGTAATTAAGGCCCTGAGTTGATTTTGCTTTTGGCCAGATGAATGACATCGTCTCAAATACTGGTTTAACGCACTTATGCTCTCCTACCACTCCCAAAACACAAACATATTTTCATACAAATTATTTCAAAATTGATTTCAAATTATGTTTTAAACTATGTTGCCAAGCATAATAAACATGATTTTAGAACCTGGGAGCAAAGGATTGGAGATTAGAAAAGCAGAAACTGCAGAAATTTCACTGTGCCAAGTGTCTCATCAATGCCACGGAACAAGGCTTAAGATTTCAGAAGGAATTTGATGGCATCCATTTCATGAATCACTTCAGGCATACCAGAAATGCACATTATTTTATGCTGACATCAAAATTATTGCTACTACTGATAATCTACCTATTTACACTGACTGAGAGTACATATGGAAGGAAATATGGATATTTTCAAGTAAAAATTTAATTACCTGGATCCTGTCTTCATCTAAATCTAGCTTGCGAGCTAATTCTTCTCTGATATCAATGCCAGGGTAGGAGTTCATTTTAAAAACATTTTCCAAGACTTCAATCTGAGGAAATTAAAATACACTCATTGAGTGATTGTCACTACCTTTATAAGAGCTAAGAATACCATTTTAGTTTGTTTTATAGGAGACCTCTGAATTGTGCTTGGGCAGTTCTGATTTCATGCAGAAATACCAGTCTGCTGAAGTTAGCAACATAACCAAATTTACACAAGTGCTTAATTACATTTTTCAACAGAGAAGCACACAGTACTGAATTAGTCAGCTATTAGAGGCTTCTGCCAAGTTTTCTAAACTACATCGTTGCTGATTCATCAGATAGTAAGAAAATCCATACCTGGCTTCTAGTGAAAGCAGTTCTTGGTCTTCTACCCCTGTACCAGCTCAATTCTCGTTTGAAAGATAGCCTTTCAGTGACTGAAAAATATTTGTCACATTTCAAAACTTTTTCCTCTTGCACTGTATTGCTGTTAGCATGGAATAATGAATTTTCATAGGAAACAACAGGAATTTGCAGATGGGAATTACTGTCATCACCTAAAACTGGAAAAAGCAAGTAAATGTGAACTTCATGTTACCGATTTTCAGTAGAAACATGACTGTATCTATTTTTAAAAGGAGTAAAAGCCTGAGAGGTTACAAAACAGACTGCTGGCTTACCCAAGTTGGTGCATGCATCCATCCACGGTCTGTGAGGTTTCACTGCTGCAATGCCATCCTTCTTCTGCTCCAATCCTAAAATACTTTCGATGGAAAATGAGCACTGTGTGGTTTTATTTTCTACAAAACCAGACACCTTCTGAAGATTCTGAGATGCTGATGGATTAGCTGCACACAGCGATGTACTTGCCATGGTTTCACCTTCAGCCAGCACAGCACACACACTGTACTTGCATTTCTCCTGAAGTCCTCCTTATAGCTATGTTGACAAGGGGGTTGGATTTGCAACGTCATTAATTAAATCTTTTATTAGAAAGTTTTAGCATGTCAATGAAAACTCTCCCACCAAGAGGCACGAGGAGTTAATTGTTTATTTGTTTGCAAGTAATTAGCAACTAATGGTGACACTAGGGGGGCCACCAAGAGGGACAAGAAGTGTTATCTCTCCTAACCAGAACATCGACTTAACTTTCTCAAAAGAAGCTATGCACAAATATAGGACTTCTCTTTTATTCGAAATCATTAATGTATAAAATCAGTTTTTTTAAAAAAACTTTATACTCTAATGTACTCCACTTACCTAAACATAGCAGCACGATAGGAAACCAGTCAAGTAATAAGTAATCTCATTTAAGTGCATTTCCTTCCAAGGAAATTTAAAAAATAATCTCTTAATGCTATTAGGCTAATCCCAATGAAAATGCCTCTGTTTTTTCATATGCATATGTAATGGTGAACGTGGTCAATAAAACAACAATAGCTTTTGGCATGAGGCTCTGTGCAGTGGGTTGGCAATGTTGTCAAAGCTCAGTGTAATTGCCTTCCAAGTGCCTGGATTAGTTAGCAGTAACAGTTGCACCAAGTATTTTAAATAATTCAGACATTCATTTTTCTTATTAAAATAGCTTTGTCGCAGCCTTTTTGAAGGATACCGTCTGTGACATTTCCTGATCAGACTATACAAAATAAAAACAAAACTTGAAGTAATACTGGCCACATACATGAGCGTACAGGTTTTAACACCCTTGACCTGCTAGGTGTTTCTTCTTTCCTGTAAGTGGGTTTATAACCAACAGAAATTATTCCACAGAGCACATACTTAAAACAACCAAAAATCACGTGTAATGGTGAAGGATTTCAAGCATTTCTTTTAAAGTTCAAGGTTTGAAAAGATCACTGATTTCACTCATTGTAAAGAAAGCATCAGCTGTAACATTTTCAAACTCAACTACTGGCCATTCACACATGGTCAGTAACAACTTCTCATTTATGAAAACCTCTTTTTGTATTTTAGATACAGCTATGTGATAATACAAAACTGCAAGCAATGCTTTTCTTTCAGAAAGCAAATTTTAGCCCTCTAAAATATAACTTTGGAGCATGATGTAGGATCGGACCTTTCAGAGGAAAAATCTCACCCTTTTGTTCTTGTGTCACCATTTACTGAGAGTAGTTTATTCTGTGTAGTCAGTCATATTCTCACGGATAACAAGTTATACAAAGAAAAATACAGAAAATCAAGGTACAGATACTGTTCATTTGTAAACTGCCCAAGATAAATCTTTAGGAATAACAGAAGCAGGAAAACTTGTAGGGAAACAGCACAGCATGGAACTGGTGGTGCAGAGTTGAGGGAGATTCTAGTGTGAAAAATAGAATCATACGTTATTTTATATCAGAATGACATTCAGCTGCATGACATTGACTTACTGGACTGACTCAGAAGTGATTCAAGCAGTGATCTCACCAAGACACCGTATCAGCATCTCAACACATTTTGAAGGGGCAGCAGAATAAACGCAGTGACCACCTGCGAGCTGAGCTCCAAACCCCATTTGGCAACCTCAGCAACTACAAAGCATACACAGAAGAAAAATCATACAAACCCATATAAGCAGCTCACTGGCTACTGACATGCCTTCTGATCAGCATCGAGGAGGAGCAGCAAGGCCCATAGGACTCATCTCTGAGTAAAGCTGTCCTCATATCCGTGATCCACACTTCCACAACTTCCTGAGCAAAACGCAAGTTCTGCTAGCCTGTCCAAACCCAGCTGCTAAGAAAGCTGGCTTAGAAATCCAATTAAAGAGCCATGGCAGAACATGAAAACTGAGAATTCCAAGAACATATTGACAGCATTCAGAGTTAATCTTCTGTACTAAACTAATGATGTTTTATGAATGTATATGAAGACTTGAGGCAAAAAGAACATGCGGTTTGTATGTTTCAGATGGGTAAGGTCTGAACCTGAAGAAAGAAAAGCTTAACTGCCAAAATTTTCCCTCAGGTTCCCCTTAATGCTCAAACACTCTCTTCTGAAGGAAACCCAGTGTCAGTTTTCAGAAAACTGCAGAGCAGCTGACATAACTTTTCCTAACTGGAAATTTCCAGAGTGTCAAGATCACAGCATAACAGACCGTCACTGTTTTCACAGGAATCTGTAACACATTGGTAGCCTCTGGAGGAGTCTCATCTGTCCAGAAGTTTCAGAAGTTTCATGATGATGTACCCAATGAATCAGAAGTCAGTGGGAAACGAGGGCCTTACAGACCTGTATATTTAACTATGGCTGGTCCTAATGCAACATCAGCTGAGATCCCAGATGAACAACGGAGCTTCTTTCCTTGACTGCAGACTTTTGACAACACACCAAGTTGAGAGGTTGCTAAAGAGATAAAGCTAAAGCTCTTGCATCCCAAGCAATTGATAAATCAGTTTTCTGCCTCTACAGTTTCTAGATGAAACACCAACTTTAAGAAGAAAAAACACCCAAAATATAACAAGTCAAAAAGAAATCAGTACAGATCCTGTAATGAATGTGGTGCCACTTATCAATTTCTCTATCCTGAGATTTGAAGCACGATTTCTGATAGACAGTGTCTTGAATTCAGAAACAAATTTGGACTTTAATAATAAAAAGAACACCTCTTAATGAGTGTAAATGAATACAGACGACTACCTATGTATAGGTGTGATGGTGTTTTGTTTTTTTTTTTAATTTTATAAAAGAACATACACAAAACATTTCAGAAAATATTCATTTCACCATAATGAATAGAAATTAGATTTACTTAAACTACATGGTTTACAGTCAGATTAGCATATAAATCAAATCCCAAACTGCTAACTGCCTTCATAGGCATGATCTCTTCAGAAGCTACCAAGAACTGCCACAAAAGGTACATGGAGGTAGAAGTAGTACTGAGGAAGCACACTCCTCCACAAAACAAACCATTACACTAACCAAGTAGCTGTAACTTGTTTTGGTCTCTCTGAGATTGTGGAGGACAGCGTAGCTTGCTTTGAGCTCCCAGTTGGAGGTTCGCATTCGTTCAGGGTTTATTTCTTCGTTTATCTTAAGGACTTTTCAAGAAAAAGATCTCAGCCGCTCTCAAAAGTAGGTTTAATAAAGTAAGTCAAAAAACATGGAATGGATTTGAAAGGCAGAGGTCAGAAACTAATCAAATACTGCCATCTGGTGTTTGTGTTTGCTCAGCTGCTACATTTGTTCAACAACGTTCTCTGAATAGGAAACTTACTATTAAAATTATGATATTAATTTGCTCAAAGTTGAATTGAATCAGACCTGGAGACTGCAGCGCAGTAACAAACACACCAACACTGCTTTGAAACCGTGCATGGCTGCAACTCCACATAGGAACTGGAAGTACCTATTCAGAAGTTCCCAGGGTAACTACTCACAGTGCTTCCTAATTTGAGGAATGCAGTGAAAATGAAACACCACACACCTAAGGGACCCTTACAGTTTTAGTGTAAATCCATACAACTGTTATGAAAATCTCACACGAAAAGAGAATTTATTCTAAAGGTAACAAGTTTGTATTAACACCAAAACGAAATGAGTAAGTCTACTGGAAAGACTGGCTGAAGATCTAACAACCAAGTGGTGTTGTATTTCTTTAAAGAGAAGACTGCTAAACTGTAGAAGAAAGCAATTTGTCATAAGAAAAAAAAATAAACAAAGCTTTTTACACAAGAAATGAGGATAAAAACATGATAGAGCAGAAAACGCAATTAGTTTTAAACTCAACTCAAGCCATTCTATGATTCTAAAGCAGCAGAATTTGATAGCAAAGATTTGGATTCCATTTCCAGGAATTGACACTGCAAGTATAATTCGAGCTTGATTCTTCATTCAAAAATTTTATCTCATCATCCTAGCCAAACGAGCAGTTCTGCCCTTGCAACCCATATGAACAGCTTTGCCTAAATATGTTTGCAGGAACAATGAGAGCAGCACAAGAAGCTTTCCAGTGAAAACCCTGGGTGACAAAAACCAATCACAGGAGAAATCACTGTTCTTTGAATATGCCAAAACAATCTTCTAATAGAATTGACACTTGATGAAGCAGAAATTCATATCCCTTGCAGATCTTAAACCACCTGTTCTTGGCCCAGGGACAGCAGCGTTCGTCTCTCGAGCGGATGCTAAGAATTGCCACTAGCACCCATTGCAACTCCGCTGTCAGGTCACCTTTCACAACAGCCTGTGCTGCATTTTCAGCCTTTGGAACACGATGAACAGCACACGTAATCTTTCTTGATATACTTATCACACAGAAAATTGCCTTTCATCTCACCTTTCCCACAGCTCTTTTACCCAAGTGTAGCACCACCTTAGACATTTTGCTGCACAGATCGACCTTTCAAATTTGTTTTGAACATTAATTACAGAGATTATATTCAAAGCCAACTACAAAACTGTGAAGTTTTTTTTTGTTTGTTTGTTTTCGCAACAATACCTTAATACCTTCAACATCATTTTTTTCAAAGCACAATGAGAGCAGTTAGCTGCTCCTTAGTTAAGTGAAAGCTACTTTGATCTGGGGCAAACACAACATAAATTCAAGGTAAATCCAAGGGTATCAGAAGAAACAGCATGCTTGTTAACGTGTAACATGCAAATAAAGCCTACCTGATCCAGACAGCTAATTCCACTCCGTAGCAGAGCCAAAGTTCTCTCCATTAGGGACACATCTGAAATCCTTAAAAGAGCTGGTGGCTGCTCTTCTCCCTGTTTATATAGTGCCAAGTATTAGTTCTCCACACTTACAGAGAAAAAGGAAGAGTCATACACACTAAGAAAGTTTACAATTCTGATAGAAGCGTAACACTAAAAACATGCTCATTAGTGGATTCTTATGGATTCCTCAGTTCATTGCTATCCAATCTGCTCCATTGCAGCCAAATATATATCCCAAATAAAACTTTTAAATGCCTTGTGTATATTTTTACAAATATATCAACGTACAAGAGAATTACTGATTGTTTCCATTTAAGGGACCTATTTAGAAACCTAACTATGAAATAGAAGAAGCTCCAGTACACTACAGAACAACTAGAAAGGGCTCTCTCTTGCTACTAAAATGAACTGATTCATTAAATTGAAACATCAACAGAAGCAAGAAACATCACGCTACATGCCAATCAAGATACCAAAGCACATTTTTACATGTTAAAAACTTGTCTGTTACCATTTTGTTTCGATACAGGACGGTTTGAGTTGGAAGGGATTTTTAATACTATTGAGTTCCAACCCCCCTGCTATAGGCAGGGACACTTCCCTCCAGAACAGGTTGCTCAAAGCCCCTTGAACACCTCCAGTCAGGAGGCTTTCACAACCTCACTGGGCAACCTGTTCCATATCTGCAAAAGTTTCAGTTTTTAAAAGCTGTTTTTCTCATTCTATAGGAGCTAAATAAATGTGTCTTTTCTGTCATTTGCAGCTGTAAAAAATGCAAAGGTAACTAGAAATAATTCTGTTTGCAGTCTCTTACTACCTTTCTGAGTTCTACTAAGGGAATGACACTAATATATTATGAAATAGAGAGCAATTCTTACAGAAGAAATTGGTTACAAGTTAACTGATATGAAAACCAGAAAGTTGTGCACATGCATATAGGTCACAAGCCAACACTGCCACTGCCTGCTCGTACTTACAGACCCAGTTAGAGCTCAGCAAGCAAAAGATCAAACAAGAAGATACAAGGCTTAGCCTTTAAACCTGGTAAGATAACTCTATTTCTCTCATTTCATAGGTACATAAGGAAGTTAGCAGTGTGGTTTGCCTCAGCCACATGAGTCATCAGATGAGCTGGTACAAGAACCCACTGAACCGAAATCTAGCAGTGACGTTTATTCACTGCTCCCTAGGCGGAAAAAAAAAGAAGAAAAAAACCAACTAACCAACCAAAAAAACCTGCAACATCAATTGCTTGCAGATCCTGTCTTTATGTTTTTAGAAGTAAAACGTGACCCGACAGAACACAAAGCGAGGGCTTTTTGACAGCACAGCACAGCAGTGTGTGCTTTGCTCCCCAGGGCCATGGGGCACAGCTTCAGCGGGCTGCGCACCGGGAACGGGACGCACAGCCGGCAGGAACAGCCGCTCCCGACCAACGGGCACCTCCAGCAGCTCCAGCCGCTCTGAAACGCAGAAGTGAAAGCCAGCAGCTTCAGAGCTGAGCCCGCAAACAGCCGGCACGACCGGGCTGTCGTTTTGTCGGAGCGAGAATGAGCGCACAGCCTGCTGCGCAGTATTTTTCTGATTTTAAGTCAGTTTAAATTAAATACACATCATTAACAACCTGTACGTAGCTTATGCCTCCTCAGAGATCTATCCTTAAAACACGAATTGCTTAACCCAGAGGGGTGACTTAAAGCACAACCCCGAGGCGCAGGGCTGTAGGAAGGACAACTCGGGAGCAGTTTCTTCCTCTCCGCACAGCAGCACGCACCAACCTGGCGCAGCCCAACGAGCTCCCGCCCCAGGAGCGGGACGGACATCCCCACCATGACAGGACGCGGTGCCGGCTGTCCCCTCGCGCTCCCCACACAGGTACCGCCGCCCCGAGGCGCCAAGCCCCGCTCCCGCAGCTCATCGCGCGCGCGAGAACAACCAGAACGGCCAGACGCCTCCCGTCAGGCGGCCACCGAGGCGGGAACGGGAACGCGAGCAGACAGAAGGGCCCGCTGACCAATAACGAGTCGCGCGGCTGGGCGGCGGAGCCAATTGCAAGGGCCGGCGGGCGGCGGCGGGAGGGACATCCGGTTCGGGGCGGGGTCGCGGGTCGCGCTGCGGGGGGGCCCAGCCAGCTGGGCGAGCCGAGGGGAACGGGAGTAGCAGCGGCGCAGATCGGTCCCCGCGGCCGCCATGCCCGGCATCGACAAGCTGCCCATCGAGGAGACGCTGGAAGACAGCCCTCAGGTAAGCGAGGCGGGGAGCAGCTCGATGAGGGGAGGGCAGATCGGTCTTGACTCGACAGCGCCAGGCCTAGCGCGGCTCCCCTCAACGTCTCAGCAGCTGGCGCACAGCGAGAGGCCCGGCCCGGCGCTCCGTCCGCCCGTGCGGCGCGGCTCGGAGCGCTGCGGGCTGTCAGTCCCGGCGCGGTGGCGGCTGCCGTGCGCGGCACATCGCCGTCTGCGGGCTGAGCGTGGGCGCGGAGCGGCGTCAGCTTCGGGCGGGGCGGAGCGGAGCGTCCCCCCGTGCCGCCGCTCCCGGGGCCGCGTCCGTGCGTACCTGGGACGCTCGTAGCGACAGAGCCCGACCTCGCTTCTCGAGCGGCTTTTAAGTCATCTTCGTCTTGCGCGAAATATGCCTACGTTTTAACGTGGCCTTTCTTGCCGCTGTGAGAAGTGGAAGATGCGCGGTGCCGAGATGGCTGCAGTTGCTCCGGTATCTTCGTCTCCATTCCTGCTGTTTGACCTCTGTCAGCGATGCCGTGCTACTACACGGCCGTTTATTTCGCGCTGCTATCAAGCACGACATGCTTCATTCCGCAGTACAGGTCTCCCTTGCTGCCCGCAACAACAGCGGTTACTTTGTACCACCGCTTTTCTTTGGCATGGAAAAGTTTACGGTGTGAATATCTGTATAAATTATTCACTCTTTTGAATTAGATCCTCGTTTTGTTGCATTGTTTATGCGGATGAGCACGAGTTCCAGTGCTGTAACAGCTGTAAAAGCAATGCTGCAATAGCATATTCATTGATAGTTTTGATTCCTCAGCCATAGAAACTTCCAGTTGCTAAACAGAGAATTTTAATCCCTATAATGGCAGTGACAACGACTGTGACAAATCGAGATCAAGTGGAGGGACAGCTTGGAAAAGAAGGCTGTGTAGGAGGTGTGTCATTTCTTTCCAAAAGACAGTGTCCCATATAGCTCTGGTACCAGATGTCAGACAAGATCTGGTTTGTTGCAGGTCTGTGGCCTGGAGACCAGACCTGATGTACTCTCACAAAAAGGAAAAAAATATGCAAGTATCACAATAATAGTAGTTTAACATAACTGTCCGTTGAAGATCTGTTCTCAGTTGATGGAAATTGGAACTGTGTATTTATAGGGAATGTCAATGTTGGTTTGATAAGATCCCTATCAAATGGGACGTTGAGGTGGGTTTTTTTCAAGCACATAAGACTGAAGTGCCATTTGGGTAGCACAGGCTAAAAGGTTACATTCTGGAACATAATTGCCAATTCTAGAATCTTCTGTTTGGTGCTGTTTGTGATAAATGCAGACTAGCAAAACCTCACTCAGCCCTATCCTTGTCTGTTGATGTACTTAAACTATTACCTTTTCTACTAGAGCTATAAAATTCTTCTATCTTCCAGCCAACTTAAGATTTCAGTAATCACCTTAGAGGAATGCAACTATAGTTCCATAATCTTCTACTACATCAGTTCATTTCTTGTATTTTGAAATCAATGCATTGAAAATGACAACATCTTGAAGAAAAAGGAAACTCTGCTTTCTTTAAAGTTGTGCTGTTCTGTTGTCATGGTAAAAAAGGGCATTGATCTGGACAGTCTCTCAGGGCTGAGCTGTGCACTGCAATTCGGTACCATTATATGTGTTTGAGATGCTAACTCATATAAACTTCAGATCAAACTTACTCTGTGTCTGAGGGAAGATCTCTGACGTGGTGAATAAACCATTGATTTCCTTTTGGTGCAGGATGAAAATCAAACCACTCTCTTTTTAGACATAAACCAAATGACATTTTATGTTGTCTTCGATAAGCAAAGCAGCACACTTCAGATAGTGCATATGTTGTACACACATTCAGTGTGCATATATATGCGTTCAGAGAGCTTCTGCTCTCTTATTTGCAGCCCCAAACTATTGCACCACAAAAAAATCCACAGGACTCAATAGTACAGACTCCATCTCATGTCTCTTACGATACAACACGTCTGAAGACACAAATTGTTTATCAGCTAACTGACTTCCAAACAGGTGGTTTCCTTGTGCATTTTTTTACTGGTAGCTTCTAGTACAGCTGCTGATATATGTGGGATGAAAGCATCGTAGGGAGCACACAGAGCTCCTCGGTTTTTCACTAGAAATGTGAGCAAACAGTTCCTCCACTTTTTATTAATCAGCATCTGTCATAACTTCTCAATTTCAGAGTTTTCTTTCCATCAGTATTATAGCATTGTCAGTTTGAAGTCAATAACTGATATTCTAACCATAAAACCCATAGAAATGCTTTTATTCCGCAGTGTTCTCTATTATAGAATATTAGAGAGGAAATACATCCCAGGAATCAAACAGGATAACACTTTCAAATTGCAGGGTCAGGTTGGTTAATGCTCGGTTTAAAGGTCATAAGGATATAATTCAGTGTTTATGGTACTATGTAATTTTTTCTTCTGCGTTCTTTCATGTCTGGAAGACTCACAGCTATTAGGGTGACACACCGTGTTGCCACACCTGGTAACCATCTGAGCTCTTCACTTCTTTCCTCCTCCACCACCCCCAGCACTTTTTCCAGTTGTTTTATAAACAAGAACCATCATTAAGGTCATTTGCTGTGTTGGTAAAGCTGTTTGTTTCTTTCCCTTAAGGTATCCTGTAGGAGTTATATGGTATGATCACATCTGTGGGAGAACCACTCATCAACTTGAGTTAAATAAGAGGCTTTCATGATCAAGTGATCAAACAACACACTTGATAAATGTTAATACAAGGGGAGATGGGCTGCATTCTAAGGCACATTTCAAGTTTTTATTACCATGTTTTGCATGCAGTGCAATCCAGTGCTTTCCACTGATCTCCTGTGTTGCTCTCTCATTTTCTTCCCAAGCCCCCTAAGTTTCATCCATTTCCAATCAGGGAACCTACAGTTACTCAGCCTGAGGAAGAGAATTAACAAGTTCCAGTGTTTGAAACCAGCAATTTGTGAGGGATTAAAAAAACCTGTTATGTAGTCCCAATTCTCTTCATTTTCTGTCTGAACATTAATTTTTAATATGAACCTAAAAACGAAAGCACAGTCTTCTTGCCAAGAAGTTAGAAGTTTATTTTGTGGATTTTGCAAGTGATTGGCCTCACATCCAAGCATCACAGCCAATATTTTAGTGCAGTGCTGCACAGCTGTTTCTTAGGAAGCATGGACGTAGCTCAGGCAGTTACCATTACATTCTCTGCTCTTCTCCCTTTTGCCAAGCTATCTGCTAATACTGATTCCAAATGCAAAGATGCAAGAGCACTGAGTAAGCATCTTAATTAACCTTAAGGACAAATTATCCTTAAGCAGCCTGACTGCCTTCTTGTCTAACCAGTCATTTCATCAAGAGCAGGGAATGTCATTCGTGCCAATTTACCCCAGGATTCTGATCTGTCCACAGCAACTTCCTTCCAGACAAAGCAGGGAAGTACAGACTGTAACTGGGTGGAAAAAATAGTGCAATAGTTAGACCTAGATGGTAGTGATCAGTGTTTTGAAGACCAATATGTGGGCAGCAATAGAGTGACCACTTGTAAAGTTATGCAGGAGGTGCGTTTGTGGGTGGCACCAGCTAAGGGCAGGCTGATGGCAGCAGACAAAAAGCCAGATCTTCTCACTGTGAAGTGACGGGGGGAAGAAGTTTACATATCAAGAAAATGTAGAGTCTGTCAGTTATTTGTCATTTGATTTGGTTACTTTCAGTTCCTCAGCTTTTTGAACACAGAATTGGCTGCTATTGCAGATGAGTTACATATCCCAGCACAGGCAGCAGCTACTCGTGCAGAAGAGAGAGTGCTACAAAGACACAGCTGTTCTTTCTGCAGAAGAAATGTGTACCTGGCACACTGCTTATTTCCAGTCAGTTTTCCTTGGGGATGTACCATAGTGATATACCAGCAATAGCTCACAATTCCAATGCTTATAATTAATACTTATCTTCATCTCTTGGTCCTGTCTGACAATGTACTCTTTTAACCTGGAGAAGTGCCAGCAAGACTGAGCTCGGATGTCATTTTAAAATACAGTTTTTTATTTTTTCTAATAATTTTCTCTAATTTTCTCTGATATGCAGCACATGCATTCCTGGAGACAGCAGTGGATGCTGTGAGAGAGGCTTCATAAACTTTCAGAAAGGAATCTGCAGCACTGCTGCTTAACATGGAAATTCTGTTGCATTTAAATCCTTCTTTGCTAACTTGGCATGTTGTTTGTCTGATTCATTCTTACAGACCCGTTCTTTGCTGGGAGTATTTGAAGAAGATGCTGCTGCAATTTCCAACTACGTCAATCAGTTATTTCAAGCAATGCATAGAGTATATGATGCACAGGTACTGTCACTGAATTCCTGAATGCATTATAAAGCTTTTGAACCACATCTTGTGTATCTTGTTTTGGAAAATTTATAAGCAAAGTATATATGTTTCTAAACTCTGTGAAAGTATTTCATGTTTATAAAATAAGCATTAAATTGTTTTTCCACGTGCTAAGGAATGGTGAGATCTGAATTCTGATTGTCACACAAGATTTCTTTTGCAACAGAATTTCTTATGACAAGTAAAAAGACTTTCTCATCTTCTTGTCATTTTGTTGCGTTCCCCAGATATTTCTAAACTGCTTGCTATGAAGGTCTCACTATGCATAGTAGCATGGACTAAGTGGGAGATAATTTTTTATCCACAATACATTCATACTGTTTCAGTCATCTGTCAGTAACTCTACTTGCATGCCAAGGCAGAAATTATTGTGTTTTTTCTGAACACTTAAGTTCCTGGCTGTATTTTTACCTACTGTATACCTGTACTGTTGGACATCTTTACTGATTTGTTCGTCTTGCTTTTCTTACTACCATCAGTCTTCCTTTACTATTGCCTTTCTATTTTAATTTTTGCATTTTCTCTCATGTGTGCACAAGTCAGAGCTGTTGGTAGCCAGGTAGTCCTGCAGTCCATTGTAATCTTTCCTTGCCTTTGCAAACATCAAGTTCTTAGGAGAACAAATTTGAAATAAATTAAAGCAAATATGTATTGTATACCATCAAAAATACAGACATCATTGTGCACAGTATAAGCTGTAAACTTGTATTTGTAAATACTGATTATGTGCAGCTCTTATTGTTGCTATAGAAAAGAAAGGGCAAAATTCCTAGATTTTCTGAAAGTCTGTAATCAGGCTTCCTGCATATAAGTTCCATGTCTGCAATATTTATTAAAAAAATCACATATTTTAAAAGGAAAATAATAGCTTAAAAAGTAACAAGATTCTTTCTTTTTTCTAAATTAGAATGAATTAAGTGCAGCAACTCATCTGACTTCAAAGCTTCTGAAGGAATATGAGAAACAGGTACAGTACAAATCACCGTTGGCTTGTGTGGTCAGGACTGTATTTTTGTAGTCTTTTATCTCCCAGAGCACAATACAGAATGTATTCAGGTTTGATTCAGATAAAGCAAACTCTTAAGGTTGGTGGCTTAAATCATTGCCAAAAGAATCAGCCTATCTTCATATCAGTTCTTTCAATAAAAACACAGGTGCTTTCCATTCTGCATGGAAAAAATGGTGCACAAAGAGTTTGCTGAAGAGAAATGTGTCCTGTTGTGACTGTTTTCTAGAATTCAGTTCTTCTTACTCTGATGAATGTTAATAAGTTCTGGTGACTTTATTTCTGGTGTTGTTTTAGAATATTTCAGTTGGAAAAGACCTACAAAGATGAACCAGAAGTTAAAGCATATTAATGAGGGCATTATCCAAATGCTTTTTGAATGCTGACAGGCTTAGGGAATCAATCAGCCACCTCACTGGGAGCCCTGTTCCCGTTCCTAATGACTCATGGCAAACAGATTTTAGCTAATATCTAATTTGAAGGTCCCCTGATGCAGCCTTGTGCCATTCTCATGCATTCTGTCATCTGATTAAGACAAGGGGCAGAGAAGAGAGAGGTGGGGGGGGGGGGGGGGGGAGTGATGGAGAATGTATTACTGTTTTCCAAAAGCTTTTTTTTATCTGAGACAATTAAAAGAAAAAAAAAAAAAAGGGGGGGATTCACAGAGTAGTCCCACAGTGTCTGAACTGCATCATTTTAAAATAAATACCTGGTACATTCTTAGACATGAATATTATACTTGTGTGAGTGGCAGAAAACACCACAACCAGCATACCTCCTTTTGTTTTGTTGTGTTTGTTTTGCAGCATTTTCCATTAGGGGGAGATGATGAAGTTATGAATTCTACTTTACAGCAATTTGCAAAAGTGATTGATGAGGCAAGCACTTGCATTTATTTCATTTACTTTACTACTTTTTTGTCATGCATTCACTTTGACTTTTTATACTGTAGTCTTCAGATTGGAGGTTCAGAAATTTCTTTTGATGATGTGGAACTGCTGTTGCAGTATAAGCTTAGGGTTACATAACCTACAGGTAAAGAATCCATTCAGCAAGGTGAGTTTGCTGAGGATCAAGGTAGTTTAACTACAAAACCAGAAGCTTCACAGAATGTTAAGTGACCAGAATTCTAAAAAACACCTCTGTCTCATCAGGATATTTACATCTCCTGATTTCAGACACCTGACTGACAAAGGAGCCTTTTGCTGTCCATATGAAAGACAGGCTGAGTGACTGACTCCTCTGAAAAAATATTTTAGCATCATTAAGAATCAGGACTTTTCCTCTGATCCCTCTCCTCTGTTTAAACAGCACTTTGTGATAGATAGAACATTTTGTTTGGATCATCTTCGGTAACCTGAGAAAGACAGACTGTGATGTAGCTGGAGTGAAGCTATAGAAATAAATTGACTGGTCACCAGAAGGTGTGAGGCCATCTTCTGACATGATTCAGCAATGTGGAGTACAGACAGAGGGAATAAGGGAAAATACTATGCTGTGAAAGTCTTCTATGTAAAGATGATGGTGGAACAAGGAACCTTAGAAGGAAGTAGCTACAGAAGTGAATTTGAAAAATTATGTTCAAGTTGTACATCAAATTTCAGTGAAACCTCTCTTGCTTCCTTACTTTCCTTAATCTCAGCACTGTTTTCCTGAAAATGTCCTTTTTTCCCCTTATTTTACAGCTCAGTTCTTGCCATGCAGTACTTTCAACTCAACTTGCAGATGCAATGATGTTTCCTATTACTCAGTTTAAAGAAAGAGATCTAAAAGGTAGGGTGTCAAACAAATGCTGTTTTTTCCCATGGCATCAATAACAAAAGTCACAGCATTTTATCTCTGTAGCTCTTATTGTACACGACAGGATCTTCCACTTATTTTTCAGCTCTCAAGTGTATGCATCTCCTAACACTTCTAATAGGAGTTGTTTCTACTCAGAAGAGCATTAGAGTTGAAGAACTAAATGCTACTGCATTACAACAAAAATGCTACTTATATTATAGAATCAGCTATTCAAGTTGAAAGTTTTGGAGTTGCTACAAACATTTTCAGATAATTTGCATGTTCAGGAAATAGTTGTGTATATACAAACATCACAACATAAACATACTGACTGAATCAAATTCAAAAGATGAAGCACCAAAACAGTAGTATTTCCTTTATTACTGTGACACTAATAATGCAATAGAAAGCACAGCAATAGTAGCAGGGTAGCAAAGTCCTAGGCTACAGCAAGTGAGGATAAGCCTAAATGCAGAAGCCATAGACATAGAAACAAAGGAAAATATTCTGCTTACCCTCGGAAGGCCTCAGGTACACAGGCATCTCCAGCAAGGTGTCCTTGCCTCCACTGCCAGTCTTTAAATGAGCTCTGGGAAGGGGTGGATCTCCACTCCACCCCCTTCTGTTCACTCAATTGCACTGCATGCACCTGATCCCCTGAGTTGGCCCTGCCTTCCCACCAGCTGCTCAATCACTGTTTCAAACCTGCTAAGGTTTAAGGTGGTTCTTTTACCCTACTGGTAATAATTTCTAAGCGTAAGCAAAAGATGTAAAACTTTTAATTTTTGTTAACAGATCTGGCTTAATTTGCCTGGTCTAAAATAGTAGAACTAAATATGATAGACTTTACTCAGTGTGCTGAATTGCAGAGGCTGGTATGGTAAATGGGTTTCAAATAAACCAAAGTTAAAAACAAAGCAACTTGGATCCACAACGGTGAATTTTTCAAGGCTAATGTTACTGCTTAGAGCCTGGGAAGGTCTCCTGTCAGTATTTTCTGAAGAGGTAATAATAGCAAATGAAATTTTCTTACTGGCGTTTTTTTTAAACACCAGCTAACATAGTGTTAAATTATACAGTACTTCGTTATGTACTTCACAGATACTTTCTTTAAAGCTTTTGTATAACTTTTTTTCTTTGTCTTTGCTCTACAGTAAACTTGATCATAGCTTTTTGCTAGTTTATGTTGTGAAGTGACACGGAAATGCAGTCAAGATTAGAACAAACTTTCCTGTGTGTTGTGCTGTTTTCTGTTTCCTGACTGAACTGGAAAACATGACTAATTTTAGGGAGGAGAAATTGCACATATAGCAGTAATCACAGTGCTGTGGGGTTTTCTGTTTCCTGATACTTCCCCTTCTTCTGTGCTCTCACTTCCCCAGCTAGGACCAAAGCCCTGAGCAGAACAATAGGTGCTGCTTTTGGACTGATTATCTTTTTCAAAGTCTTTGGAAATTTCTCCTTAACTTACTACACTACAGTATTATTTTTGTAAATGGTACTAAGATCCAAAGTAGGAGCAGACTGTGCCAGCTGCAGATGCCTGTACTGATGATTTAGTGTGGTATGAGGTATGAACTGCACCTGTGCAGCAGAGTAATGTGGCGTGAGAAGCCGCTGTGTATCTGTATCTGTATGTGTGCTAATAACTTCACTGTGATGTGTTGTTTTGTAGAGATATTAACTCTAAAAGAAGTTTTCCAAATTGCAAGCAATGGTAAGTGTACAACAGTCAATGTTGCAGATATTGCAATTCAATGGCATTATTGTAGAATAGTTATTCAGCAAATTAGTGAAGATGGTTGGGAGGCCCAAAGTAATTACGCTGTTATTTGTTCTCAGTGATATTTAGGCAGCCAGCTATCATTGAACACCTTGTAAATTTCTGCTTTGTGGACCAAAGCATTAAGGCAAATAGACATGAGTCTTCCTCACAATACTTTACATGTGTATATAGTTATAAAATAATTTAGGATTATGCTTCTGAAATTAACGTGAAGAGTAAGGTGTTAGCTTACTTTTTAAACTCAGGACTTAAAATGGACTGAAAAATACAAATCTCATCTCCCTAATACTTGTCTGATAGTCTTCTTCCTAATTGTCAGTAGTTGCTTTTGCTCTGCTACGTCCTTTTCTTCACGTAGATAGCTTCATTGCTTCAGAAGTGCAAAAGATGAGTTAGAGGTTTTCATGGACAGTTGACACTATTTTGAGTCAGGTTCTCAGACTTTGAGAGAAGTTGGTAAGAATTTACCTTCAGCCCAAGTGTTGGCAGCCATGTAGTAATTATGAAGAAGCAAGAGGAATTATTAAAGGCTTTATTATGGCAGAACTTTGTATTTGAATTGCTATACAGGACATGGGGATATGAAAGTTTTTATGCTCTGTTTCATAAGTGATCAACTTATCAAAATGATCCCTTATTCTCTCTTCACTGCTTAGACCATGATGCTGCCATTATCCGATACAGCCGGTTGTCAAAAAGAAGGGAAAATGAAAAGGTTTGTAAAACAAAATGCTGATAAGAAGACTTCTAGAGAAGTTAAGAATTAATTTTTGTCTAGTGTATGTATTTGTGATGAAAGATATGTACAGCAGCTGGCACTTGGGTAGTTGACGTTTTAGCATTGCGGACAGTTTGTTTCAGAACACAAAAATAAGCTTTTTTGAATACACTGAAAAAGTTAGAAGGTGGAGGTTGTGGTGCTGTAGTCCAGTTTTGTAACGAACTGACTACTGTGTGTGCTGCTGCATGTACTTTTCATGCATCCTCATCTGTGAATTACAGAAAGGGAATTGTAGCGCACGAGAGTTAATGCTGAGCTTAGAACATTACTGTATTGTTCTTTTTTTTTTTTTCTTGCTGTTTATAAAGCTGTTGAGAAGGCATGTGATAAATACCAAGATTGAAACATTCTTTTTTCCCTCTCTCCTTGTCTGTATCTCTTCAGATCAAGGCTGAAGTTACAGAAGATGTGTATACTTCCAGGAAAAAACAGCATCAGACTATGATGCATTATTTCTGTGCATTAAATACTCTTCAGTACAAGAAGAAAATTGCCGTGTTAGAACCCTTGCTAGGATACATGCAAGCTCAGGTAATTTCACATTCTGTAAGCTGTAGGTCTGAAAGAAGATGTAAGAGTAGTTCATGAGAGCTGATCTACTGAAATTCACTGCAAGACCTCTTTTTAGAATCCAGGGAAGCAAACCCCATCTCCATCCCTGTAGCTGTCATACTTGTTGCCAAGCGCCCTAGCACTATTCATTTTCAAAGTTCTGTAGGACATGCTCCCATTGAAGTATCTTTTGGGGAAGTCTGGGCACCAAATGGAAAGATTTAATTGTAATCCAAATTCTAGATGGCTAAATTTGACGTCTCGGTTGCTGGTGCTGTTCTCTGTTAGCTTGTTGTTTTGTTTTGTTTTTTTCTCCACTGGCTCACAGTCAGAAATATCTGATTAAAACTTTCATGCATGCAGGTCTGCATAAAAGTGCACCTTCTTAGAAGTTAACATGGAGGCAGATAAGCTCTTTCCTGTGGCAGCTATTCTGAGATAATTATCAAAATCACATCTCTTCTGTTTCTCATCAAGAGTGTGAAAGAATTGGAATGCTCAAGATCATTCTGATTTGAGTTTTTTAATATAATGGGTTTATTTTAGGACAGGTGCTATAGAGAAAGCTTTTTGGAAACATTCTAGCATCTGGCTAGAGTGTAGGAATTAATTTCTATACAATGTTTAAAACTTTCCCATGTCCAAGAACTCCTGCTTCCCTTGGGGAATTCGGAGCTTGTATAAAATATCTAAGCTTTCAGCGTTTTCTTTTCTTTTACAAGGTAGGCAGTGCAACCTGTTGCTCAGGTGCAGCTTTTTACTGAATCTGAGAACAGAATGGTAGGACTGCCCCCCGTGGCTTCTTGTTCTGAAGTTTCATGTCGCTAAATTGAACTTATATGGCAGTTTTCCTCAACCAATACAGAGTGAAATGTTTCAAGACTGTATTGTCTGCCTCCCCCCGGCACGATCCACAGTTAGAGGACTGACCCAGACAAGTTTCTACAGTCACATATTTCATTTCACTTGCTCTGTTCACATCCTCTCAGTGAAATTAAATTCCTTTGCAATGTCAACATCTACCTTCACTTGGAGACAAAAACTTGCATTCTGCTCCTCTTGCTGAGACTGCTGGGAATAAGGAAGAAAACCAGATTTCTTTCTGAGGCTTTAACCTCCTATCATTTATTTATTGATTGGTTTGTTTAGTTTCATTCATGACGAAGTTCTCCCTTTTCCTCCTTTTTTAAGATAAGTTTTTTTAAAATGGGTTCAGAAAATCTCACTGAGCAACTGGAAGAATTTCTCACCAACATTGGTACAAGCGTACAAAAGTAAGTTGTTCTTGTTAAATTTTGCACTTTTTTGCACAATTATTTTTCTGTTTCCACTTAGCAGTATATTGTCTTTGTTAGTAACACATAACTTACCTTAGTGTTCGCAGGGAAATGGAGTGCGAAATAGAGAACATGCAGCAAACTATAGAAGACTTGGAAGTAGCCAGTGATCCACTTTATTTGCCTGATCCTGATCCTGCAAAATTTCCTGTCCATAGAAATCTGACACGGAAAGCTGGCTATCTCAATGCAAGGAAGTAAGACTGACTGGTTACTTAAATCTTAAAAAATGTTTAGCTTTGGGAAAGCTTGGAGCATATGCTGTGTTGTTTTGGAATAAGTGATGCTGATCTTAAGTATGTAGGTGAGTGTACAAAGTCACATCAGAGCTGTTCTGTTTCTTTTGTTGGATTCCCTTATTTATGAGAGTGTAATTTCACTGGATTGTAACTGCAAATCAACAAGACTGCAGTGGGAAGTATTTCTGTATAAATATCCAATAAAGCTCCAGGATTAAAGAGATTAAACACAACAAGCTTGAATTGCACAGGGCAAACCACTGCTGCCTAAAAACACCTTGAACATCCTTCCGTTTCATGAGGCAGTCTTTCCTCCATGGAGGGAGCTCTTATGCTATTAAGGTCATTTGTAGTGGTTGAAAATAAGTTGTAACAGTAAGATTTTTTTCAGTAGTCTGCATAATAACCTCCAAACAGGCAGGTTGGTTTTTTTAAAAGTTAAATTAATTTTACATTATATTATACTCACTGAATGAGACCTGAATTCCTGCCGTAGAGCACAAGTGCAGCAATTAATATGGAAGAGAGTATCTGAACACAAGGGAGGCTAAACCACAAGCATTACTGACTTTTGATTCCTTTGTTCTTCTGGAAGAAAAGGGGGAAAAGAAACTCAAACGTGCTCTAAGCAGTACTTTGATAATCTTACTGAATGATAGAAAATACTTGGAAAATTGAAGTATTTTACGTACCTTAGCTAATGCTTACCTCAAGTTTTCCAGTGAAAGTAGAGTTTGGAGATGGTATAAAATACTTTGATAACGTGTATCAGTTGAAGATGCACATTTCATAAAGCAGTGCTATAAAAACTGAAAATCAAGTTCAAAGAACTGATGTCTTTTTAATCTCAATACAGTCTCATTAAATCTAAGAAAGCAAATATTTTTGTAAGCTTTGCCCAGCAGTGCATTTGAAATAAGTATGCAACAGATACAGACTAATTTAGCTGTAGAGCTAACCTAAAACATTACATGAGGATGCTTTTAAGTGCCCATGTGGCTTGCTCGTGTAATTTTTTTTTAATATTCTAATTATAGAGCTCAGCTAAACTCCTAACCTACTAAGCAGGAATCCCTTCTCATGTTCTAGTAAAACAGGGCTGGTATCTTCCAGCTGGGAGAGACAGTTCTACTTCACTCAAGGTGGAAACCTGATGAGCCAGGCAAGAGGAGATGTGGCTGGGGGACTTGTCATGGACATAGACAATTGTTCAGTGATGGCTGTGGACTGCGAAGACAGACGGTACTGTTTTCAAATAACATCTTTTGATGGTAAAAAGTAAGTATTCTTACATTAGTTTTATCTGTAAGAGAAAGTACTTGCTACTTAAGAAAAGAAAAATGCTCTGACTCCAGACAGATTGTAGCTTGATGGGTTTGGAGTGTGTTTAGAACCTCAGTCTGGGATGTCTGCTATCTTTATTGTGATGCTGCTTTTGTTCCCTAGCAGCTTCTGCTGATGTAGCTGAGTGGTACTTCAGAATAAAATTGCAGTGTTCATTTCACAGTGGTGTCACACCCGTAGCTTTCTAGTAGAAATTCAAACTGAAGATAATTTGTGGGGAAAAGAGAAGGCTTAAAATTTGACCAGCTTTTTCTGGGCAGCTCCACGGCAGTTTTTATTTCATCTGAAACAAGTACTTTGAGAGAGTGAAATGTTATCATATGAGATTATTTGTAGTGCTATATTAAACTCCTGATGCTAACTTCTTGTTGATTTGGGGATTTTTAAAAGTAGTTCTGGTCGTTTTATGAAATTAGTTTTGTAAATTCTAATATTTGGGAAATAATAAATAAGGCAAGTTTAATAGAATGCTTTGGATGCTTGTTAGAGAAAATCTGTTGGAAATTCCTGTTCTCTTTTTCATGCGGATAGTTCCTGTGAAGTATTTTGAAGACTAGTAGATTAAACCTTGAGGTTCAGAGTGTCTGTCATTTTAATGAAGATGGCACTACGTGGATTCACCACTCTGCTTAACTCTTACATTAAGCCTATATCCAACTTCTAAGTGTTATGCTGTAAAACAATGGCTTGAATGTATTTAAATGCTAATTCATTTCAAAATGACTTTTCAGTGGACTGTATGGTTAGAAATAGAACAAGACACCTGTATCTACCATAGGCATAATACATTCCTGTGCTGTCATCACTTGTTTAATTCTATCTTAAATTCTCAGTGAGCAAAAACCACACCTATTCTGAAGTCTATATGATGACATATTTTCCATCTGATCAGAGAAAACAAGTGTGTCACAACGAATTTTTTACTGCTTAGTAAGTTATTATTTCAGATTATGTATATCAGAATAAGGTAGTTTCCATTCAAAAATGATGGTAACATACAGGAATTGAAAAACAGCCTGAAAAATAGTAGTAGATATGAAATAAATGAAGTAACTCTAAAAAAATAAAATAAAACATCAAAAAACCCCCCCAGTAAGCTCAGTGCCTTCACTTTTCACACTTTTGTCTGTTTTAAACATGGTGCTGATGCCATCAGAATGAGGCTGGCTGTTTTCTCTGATGGCCAACAAATTCTTCAGGGAACAAAAGCTATTCAGCTTCAGCTCAGAAGTATTGCTCCAATTAACTTCAGTATATTTTTGCATATTTTTGAAAGGCTGAAGCTTTTGATACAGTACTGCATGTCTTAGGAGAAGGCTCTCATTTTTCAGGTTTGAACGTAATTAAAACAATGGAAAAATATTTTTCTTAAGCAAGAAAGATGAGCTTTTTTATTGCTGTAAGTGGATGGATGTTGTAGAGGTTATAGAGAAATGGATTTTCTTTCCCCAGTTAAATGTTGTCTGCGCTCAGTACACAGAATCTTCAGACTTATTTCTCTGTGCAGTGTACAAACATGAAAAGGGAATTTTGAGTCTGAAAGGACAGGTGATTCATTTCTAATAGGCAAAGTTTTGGTTTTCATTCTCTTTCAGGTCTTCGATCTTACAAGCAGAGAGTAAAAAAGATTATGAGGAGGTAAGCTTCAGGAGCTTCACATGGCATTGAGTTTTCTGTTGCATGGAAGGGAACACGTCAGTAAAACTAGTTGGAGTGCACCTTTTGTATTCTTCAGGCAGTAAATAGTGAACAACTATCAGGAAGTCTGACAAAATATTACTGTATTTAAATCCTTTTCCATAATCGAGTGGGATTAAAAAAAAATGTTCTAAAAGCCCTTTAAGGTGGGTTTGGGTGAACAGCTGAATAAGGAAATACAGAAAATGTGGTACATTCAGCCTGAATTGGAATTTCTCTGCAATCTTTATTGTTAGATTGGGATAAAATAGTGTTTTATGCTATTTTTAAGGCTGGGCTGTGTTAGCCTGGCCCTGAAATTACAAACGAGGTGGAAAAGGTGCCGAAAGCAACCGGTGCTGGGGATATTTAATCAGACTCCTTGGAAAGAAGCCATGACAAATCTAATGTTTTCTTTTTTCCTCTCTTTTTCAGTGGATATGCACAATAAACAACATATCTAAACAGATATATCTAAGTGAAAACCCTGAGGTAAACGTCACCAAAATGTATCACATCAGTAATACTTTCATACGTAGCTACACACAAAATTAACAAGAGATTAACTGGTCCAACTGGAAAGCACAGGACTGAGTGCTTCCCACATGTCTCATCTGAGGCTTCACGTTGTGTGGCTGTTCAGATCTATGAGAGCGTACTCCCAATTCTTTCAGTCTTCTGAAGTGCTTCTGTAGCAAGGGTAAAAAATTATGTGGCTTTTGTCTTTGATACAATGTTTTGACAGCTTCAGGATTCCTTTTTTGTATTTGATAGATGATAGTTTGTTGCAAATGGATATGACAACTACCTGGATGGATACATGGAATTTATATCAGAGCAAACTGGAATTTGGTGAATTAGATAAGTGTAATTTTGCAGGAAAGATGTTTTCACTTCATAAAAAGGTTATTTGACTTTTGAAGATTTAGAAATGGGTGTACATGTACAGTTTGGTGTCATAACTTTATTTCTACACTTTGTATTTATAGACTTACACTGATATAAACTTAAGCCGTGACCATTATTCCCTAAACCAGGGGAGTTGGCCCAACAAAATCTGCTGTTTTGTAACAGAGCATGGAACTGGGTTATGTGAAAGGAAGCTTTCCAGTGCTTCCATCATAGATATGAGCAGTGTGGTTAGAGCAGCTGAATAACACCAGGATCTGTTGCTGAAGGCACATCTCTGATGAGTTCAAAGCTGAGCTTCTGTTCAGCCCAGGTGTAGAGGAGTGCAAAGATCAGTGAGGGTGTATTTACTTACATTGTGCATGAATCCAAGAGAATAATAAAATCTGTGACTCCTGTATAACAATTAGAACTCAATATTTTAAAGCCTTTCTACAGTTCTGATGGCTTTAGGGTTATGAATAAAACTTGTTTGAAGGGTGGAAATATCTTCTGAAAAGTACTGCTTGAAAACAGATTGCTCCCAGCTCTTATTTCCTATGATATCACTGTCTTCCCACTTCACAATGGCTTTATACTCTCATTTTCTGACTACTTGCACAAAACTTTGCTTCTTCACTGCTTTGTCTCCCGTATCTTCCCTCTCCAAAATCCTCTTTATTTCAGGACTTTTTCTGTTGGCTGTACCTCGTCAAGTATTAAATACTGATACTTCTGAATCAGTAATTTCAATAAAAGAATAAAATTGAATTCTTAAACTTTAAAAGGTCTATTATTTGCTGAAATGACATTGTTACTTAGTGCTATTTTGATAGTCATTCCTGTCTTGGTTTTAAAGAAACATTTAAACATTCCCAGATTTCAAGTGCAGACTTTTGAGTCTTTATGTTTTGTTAGTAGTCGAGAGGTACGTTTTTTTTTTTAAGTGATATCTTTATTTTTCTTACTGTAGCTGTTTGCTTATTTTATCAGACAGATTGCAGCATTATGAAGCAAGTGCATTCACTCAGGTGTAGAAAGTGAACAGCACAAAATGTGACAAGTTTGAAGATGCTACAAATACGTTACTGAAAGGGGACAATTTAGAACTTCTGTCAGTTGCATCTAAAGCTAAGAGCTGGCACTGCATGTTGAGGAAAATGTTTTCATTTACTTGTTGCAGGAAATTGCTGCACGTGTAAACCAGTCAGCTCTCGAGGCCGTTACTCCGTCGCCTTCATTTCAGCAGAGGCACGAGAGCATGCGTCCGACTGTGTAAGCTGCTGAACTGTGGGCACTGGAAGAGCACTTCTGAAAAGAATCTTGCATTGAGTTCCAGTAAAAACAAACAAACAAAAACGATCAACAACAAAAAATTCATTAAGAACCCTCTGTCTATGCTTTCTATGTTCAGAGTGAAAGCTTTGGTAGATTCAGAACATTTCTCAAATCTGCCTTGCTTTAGTTGTTGTTTAGTTACAAACAATCTGGATTTCTTGCCAATTAGAAAGTTTTGTTGCATTACATCTGGTTGGTTTATAATCTGTGTTCATGCTTTTATTTAATGTGTACAACTCCTGGAAGCAGACCTTAGACTGCAATGTGTTTTGTGCTATTATACACTGATGTTAATCTGATGGCATTATTAATGCCAACAGTAACTATAACTGACTTAAATTGGTCTGGAATGTATAGTCAGATAAATGGAATTATTTGACGGTATCTTATCCTCTTCAGTTTTTAGATTCTGTTTTGTTTTGGAGTGCTGTATTCATCTTCCATTGGTTTAATTGATTGTCAACCAACCTGAAGCTCAGGTGCCTTCATTCTCATTTCTGTTCCATTTCAGACAACCCCGGCCGCCCGCAGCGCGCACCAGCAGCACGGGGTCGCTGGGCTCCGAATCCGCCGCTCTGTCTGCGCTGTCCTTGGATTCCCTTGTTGCCCCTGACACTCCTATTCAATTTGACATAATATCTCCAGTTAGTGAAGATCTGCCTGGTCAAGCAAAGTCTTCAGGGCAGTCAGGCAGGTAGGAAATGTAGAAAGAAAAAACAAAGTCCTAAATTAAATGTAAATTTAAAAGAATATTTAAAAAAACACGGTTAGGCTGCAGCTCCACACACAGCCACTGCCTGTCCCTATTCTTTCTTGTTTTAAAATAGTAATAATTTACAGATTTACAGTGAACCGTGAAGCAAAACAAGTTGTTGTTAAATATAGTTATAAAATGTGACTTACTTACATACATTAGATTCAAAATGTTGTTTTCTAATTTGCAGCAGCTCTTCTTGCTTTAACAGCTAATGCTTTTTTTTTATTTATTTCAATAATTTGGTTTCACAAAGTGTTTTCCTTTCCTATTGCTTGCTCACCCAGCAGCTTGGGTTATTTCCTCTTGGAAATTCAAGAGAAATTTGGTAGCCCTGCCTCCAGATGATGATGGCATACGATGACACTCTTCTTAAACTGAAAGGTGAGTGAAAATGATCTAGGCTTCTAGAGTGATCTCACATATAGACAAGTTAAAATTGTCTAAGAGCTCTTCCCAAAATAGGAAAACCTTTTCAATTTTTTCAATTTTCCCATAGACAAATGATAATAAAAAGCTGTAAATCAGCACTGCATTTCTGGAACTACAGATATTAAGAAAATATATTTGCAGTTCCAGCTCTTGTAAGGGACAAAAAGTCACAATGGTGTGTTCTGTATTCCCCTGCCCTCTACAAAAATGACTTTTAGTTGTTTAACTCCTATATATGAGAAAATGGTACACATGCAACTTTTTTTCCCCCGCTGGACAGTTCTTTGTTGTTTGTTTTAGCAGAATAATCAGTTGGCTAACTACACCATTAAGAACATACTGCTTTAAAATCAATCTTGAACTGTACTCCAGGAAGTGGAAAGCTTCATACTTCAGCTAAATTCATGTCATCAGTTGTAACTTAATTCTAGAAAGTTGTGTTTTTCATACAGAAATGATTCACAGTTTTGCATATTCTATCAGTAAAGAACTGCAGTGTTTGGTGCAGAATGCAACATGCTACTGTAAAACAAATTTTAATAAATATAGTACATAGACTTACTCTAGTTTCTGATGCTGATGACATAATCTTTTTATTTTGTGAGATCCCGTGAGATTTTGTATTTACTGTTCCCATCTAGTCTTGAGTGACAAGTCCAAGCAAAAAATCTTGCTAATAGAATTTATGTGTAATGTTTTTACACAGGTCAAATTTCAATGGGAGGATTCTTAATGGAGCCCTCATTATGTAAGCATTGTAGCAATGCAACCTCCACCAAATAGGAGAGATTCACATAATTTTTCTCTGATTTAGTTCTGAAATTTGCTTTTAGAACACTTAAAAATAAAGAAGGTGGTGCATTCATTACTCCCCTATAAAACCTAACTCAAAGTTTATGAGCACTTGATGAGTTTATTTTAACTATTTTCCCTGTTCCCCATATTCTTTTCAGCATTGCTTTACTGCTTTTAAAAATACAGACTTGGAAGCCTAGAGTATTTTCACTTTTCGTTGTAACTGATGGCACTTCTGAGAGCCAGAAACGGCCATATTTCTCTTGACCCTCTAGGAGTAAAACCCCAGTGGTGTTTTCAGAAAGCTGCATTTGAAATAAAACCAGTGACTTTTCTTCAGTAAGTAATGCATCAACTTGAGACAGTGCTAAGAGCTGTGGTGCTCCTTTGGAGTAGTGAAAGGAGCAGCATTTGGCTGCATTTCCCAAAGCTGTTCTGTCACACCTCGTTCCCTTGGGCTTAATTCACGTATAAAAAATGCCATGGGAGCCAAACTCTTTGTGGCAGCAGTAGGACAGTAATACCTGCTGTGCTCCCCATCATTTGACACTTTGTCTTATTCCCAGTTCAATTTCTTGCCCTTACAAATTGCTTGCCGTTATCATGGGTCACTCCTCCAGATTACAAGTTTGTGAAGTCCTGATCTTGTTCTCATTTTATGCAGCATGAGACTACATTATTCATGAGTGGTTCCTGTAAGCTGACTCCTGGTTTAATGTTTTCATTTCTTAATAGACGCACAAATCCTTTTGGTGAAACGGGAGGCTCAAAATCTGAAACTGAAGGTAATTAAAAAAAAAAACAAAAAAACTTCAATGCAAAATGAATTGGAGAATTTACAAACTGATTCAGTATGTTCACCTGCACCTTTTCTCCTTGTTTACCACCAGTTCTACAGTGTTAGTTACGTTACATTAGCAATGTGTTGGACAAGTTCAGTTAAATCAGACTGCTGTCTGAAAGTCCTGGTTCATGTTCTCTGCTATATGACATGAAATTATTTTATTGCATTTTTGGAATTCTTGAAATGAACGATACGTATCTTGCTGTGCAGTAATTGTAGCTGTAATTCATAGCACAGTCTCTTTTCAATTTATTGGAAGTCTGGTGTTTTCCTGACTGAGTACAGCTTTGGTCTTGGAAGTAGTTTTGAACAGAAGCCCCCACGTGGAGTTCACTTACTCAGTACTTTTGTTTCTCTTAGATTCAATTCTTCATCAGTTGTTCATTGTAAGGTTTCTTGGCTCTATGGAGGTGAAGTCTGATGAAAGTCCAGATGTTGTTTATGAAACAATGCGTCAAATCCTAGCAGCTCGGGCCATCCATAACATTTTCAGGATGACAGAATCCCATTTATTAGTCACTTGTGACTGCTTAAAGTAAGTTTCCTTCCTGACTTGTACTGATGTTTATTTACAGATGGAACATTTTTCACTTTGGTAAAATTTACTTTCTGGTTTGTTTTTAAAACCAAATTTTTAGGTTAATTGATCCACAGACACAAGTTACAAGACTACGAGTAAGTAACTTTACATTTTAAGATAAATACCCAGCAAAGCAATTCTTTTACTTCTTATGCAATATTATTAAATGTGAGCAGAAATCACTGACAGCATGAGATTTCCAGACAGATCTCCACAGAAACTGGGAGGCTGATGCAAACATTGGCTTTAAGGGGAGTGAACTCAGCAGGAGAAAAAAGCTTTTTAAAACATTTTTTCCCCCGATTTGATTGGGTAGAATCTTAGGAAAATAAGAGTATTTTATTTTAACAGTCTGGCTGATACAATTGGTAGAGAAACAGAATTAAGATTGGAACAAATGCAGAAGTCCAAAACATTTTTGTTGCTTTGTTTGTTTGTTTGCTTTTGTTTTGGGTTTTTGGCTTTTCTGTAATCAACTGTACACTGTTGCAGGGTGCTGGTTTGTTCTTTACAGTAAATGCACATGAAAAAATAGGTGGGATTTTCATGTGGAATCAAACATGGCTGACTTAATTCTTCATTAATAGCAGTCTTTATTTTCTGTATTTCAAAGCTATGCCTCCCCTCTCTTTGTCTCTGCATGGTTTATGGTAATTCAATTTATTTGGGTCTTATAAAGGTGCTCAATTTGTCAGGGACCCTAAGTTGTTATCATTTCGATCAAAGGAAATGCTAAGCATATGAAATATTCTTCATATAACAGTGTATAGTTTTCCTTTGTTTTTTCCTTCTTTGTGGCATTAAGTTCAGAACTGCCCCAAAGCTGTGAGCTTTTACAGGCGAGATGAAGAACTGGGTGCAAGTGGAGTGCTGTACGTGTGTTCCTCCCATGCTGTCAGTGTGTAACAACTGCAGTAGGGCCTTCAGAATTTGAAAGCTTACTTCTATGCTAAGACTCATTTGAAATTTCTGGTTCAACTTCTTTTAGGAATTGAGAATACAAAGCACGTTTCTTGAAATAATACAGAAATGTAATCCTCTTTTTTTTTTTCTTGCTTACATGATTCAGGAGAGCTGAACTTCTTGCAGAAAATGTTATAGAAAAGAGCCTTCAGCTGGCACCAAATGCTGAGAGCTTTGCAGCTGCTCACAAATGCAGCTTGTATGGATGCCTCTTTTAAAAGAAAATTTTTTCAGAAGTGTTCACATTTAGAAAGATGACTGAATGTCATTGCAAGTGTAATCCCCTCTTTTATCTGCAGTAATTCCCTTCCAACCCACTGTTTGGCGTTTGGCAATTACATGTTCAGTCAGGTTGTAACTTTCTCAGGTTGTGTGTTTTTGATATTGAAGTAACGTGCAGTGCAGTGAAAATCTGTGCAGAATGTCTGAAACCACTTTTAATGTCTCTGTATTTGATCCTTTCTGGCAGTTTCCTTTGCCCAATGTAGTCTTGTATGCAACACACCAGGAGAACAAGCGCCTCTTTGGATTTGTGCTTAGAACTTCAGGAGGGAGAGCTGACAGTCGACAAACTTCCATCTGCTATATCTTTGAATCAAATAATGAAGGGGAAAAGGTATTGGTGATGGTTTATTCGTATCCATTTTCATTTTCTGATTCCAGTCATTTTCTGACATGGGCTCTAAGGTATTAGTTCCATTCCAGCTCTCTATGTGGTTTCTGTGAGAGAGTTTATGTACTGAAAACAAGTTAACCCAGTAGTTGAAGTAACTGTAAAATGCTTTAGCCACGCTATCATACCTCATTTGGGAACATGGCATGCTTTTAAAGGCATTTTTGTTAGATTCTTACAGATGATTTCAAATCTGATTTGTATTTAGATTTGTGACTCCGTTGGACTGGCGAAACAGATTGCTTTCCATGCAGAACTGGTAAGAATCTCTTTAGGGGACACTATCCTTCTGAATGGAAGGGAAAAGGCATGTTTATTGTGTGTAACAGAATATAGTCTGCAAGATGCTTATAGACACAGTAATACTGTTGTAGAGAACTCAAAAGGATTTGCTTTGTAGAATTTGAGCCCAAGATAAAAAGACCAATCACCAGTGTCTGCCTCGGAACAATACTCAAGATTGGAATCTGTTTTTTACCTTTAACAAACATACCTGTCCATTAAAAGAAGCATAATCAGGTGTCCTAGCAGTTTTGAGTGAACTCAGATAAGCCCACAGCATATCAAGCCCCCTGGGCAGTTGTTTCTTTTATTGTCATTTTTGCTCTTCAGGATCGAAAAGCATCGGAAAAGCAAAAAGAAATGGAGAGGGTCAAAGAGAAACAACAAAAAGAACTGACTAAACAAAAACAAATTGAAAAGGTACACTTTCTTACTTTTTCTTACTTTTCATGCTATTTTTGTTGTGTTTTTTTTCTGTTTAGTTTTGTAGCTCTGTAGTTCCAGTTGCAATATCACATTCTTTAGCACAGATAGAGTATTGTGGAATCAGGTTAATTGCTGAAGTATTTTCTGCGCAGATCCTGTATGATTTTGTATTATAGTTCTTCAGAAGAGTTTTTCTGAGGAGATGAACAACCAGACATCCTCATAGGCATATTTAAGAGCAGTGCTTGAAGGAACACTTATCACAAGCTGCCCTATATATGGCTGCAAGTAAACATCTGCATGCACTGAGACAGTTCAACTGGAGATGAAGGTTCAGCTAGAGACTGAGGCAGGGCTGCGAGCAGCAGGCTGTAGGCCAGGCTTAGTTCTGACCTGCTGTGTTGTATGGGTTACCGGTACAGAGGCGTTAAAGGTGACTTCCTACTGATGTCACTTTTGAAACCCAAATGTCCAAATCTTAGTGTTTTGTTTCTACCTTAGGGAGCTTCAACGTGAATATGATTTTTCTAATTTCCTTCTCTCCTTTCTCTAATTAGGACTTAGAGGAGCAAAGCCGACTGATAGCTGCTTCCAACAGATCAAACCCTAGCAGTGGAGAAGGACAGTTTGTAGTCCTTAGCAGCAGCCAGTCAGAAGACAGCGATTTAGGAGAGGATGGAAAGAAGAAAAGGGAATCTGAAACCTAAGGTTGCCTAGTAAATTAAAATTGGAATCATGGATATAAGTTTTACAAGAAGTGAAATATAGGTGGAGGGTCTGTTGTTTATATAAAAAACTTCACAATGTCTAGACCCTAATATGCCTTGCTGTTTCTTTCTCAATTAAGTGATTTCCACTTTCATGTCAGTTCCTCTTTTGTATGCCAGATAGACATGGTAGCATCACCATTCTTTTTTTCAAAAATTGTTTTCTCAAAGAATTCTCTGCAGGAAGGGAAAAAGATGGATTTTTCTTTTTTCCGTGTACTCATCTGTGCAATTGACTGCTTTGGAAATGAAACTTAAGCTCTCACTGAACTTGAGCAGTACTGAAATTTGTTCTTTACACTGCAGTTTGCAGAACACCTTGCTGGAAACAAAAGTGGGGGTCCAGATAAGACAGTGCTAAGCTTTATAGAACTTGTTGCACATAACTGTTCTTACAGTTAAAGAAAAATCCTTATTAACATCTATGGGATGTGCAGTAGTTGTAGAAAGAAAGATCATAGTGTTTGTTTCATATTGCAGTGTATGGTGCTGTCTTTCTTTTGTGATTTAAATGCTTCTTTGAACAGGAGATTAAAAGAAAATACTTGTCAGACATAGGTAAGAGCTGAAGAGATGCAATTGCACTTTGCTGCATGAGGAATGCATTAAAAATTCCTTATCAAATAGTAAATATAATGTCTAAGTGCCATGTTCCTGGTTTTTCCCCAGTGTGTAAAGAAAAGCAGTAAGCTGCCGAGTTCATTTTCAATAAAAACATGCACGGAGTTGCAGAAACATTGAATTCCACCACTTGAAAAATCTGAATCCATAAAGGCCTTGCTACCAGTAACTGCATTTGCTGAAAATGAGTTAAAGCTTTTTAAGTCTTTCTATGGAACTGTCTTTTGCAAAGAGAAGTAAAAGACGATGCTAGTCTGCATCCTGAAGTTGGTCTCTTAACGCATTTTTCAAAGCAGTCTCTGTTTATACCTCATAAGCCTGAACTCCATGGTCCATACCCTGTGTAATATTTATTTTGTATAATACTAAATGTGCATTCATCTTTTGATCCAGAAGAGAAAACGTGTTTGAAGTAAGAAGAAATATTTATTTTTGCACTAATTACTATAAATACTAAACTCCAATGGAACAGATGTCTCTCTAATAGTGGCCTGAGCATAACAGAAAATGTAGAAAGAGAAGAATATATTCTAAGATGTTTTATAATGGTTAAGAGTGTTTTACAGTTCATTGCAGAGCATTTTTAGTCTTTGGCTTTCAGCCCAGCCCTTCATAGCTAGAATTGCATGGTGCTGAGTAAGTGAGGAATTTCAGGACCTCTGTGCTAGATGGCTGTGCAAAAAAGGAACACTGTCCTTAATTGCTCAGAAGTTGTTTTGCATAGGCTGACAAAGGCAATCTCTTGCTTTTTACGCTGGAGATGGACAGGCATTTCTATGCAGCAACCAACTGCATCTGCCTCCTGTCACAGCAAAGAGAAGGGAGCATTGCTCTCATGGTGCCACTGGCACCACAGCGTACAGCAGGGACTGAGCAGCTGTGGAAGCGCTCACAGTATTTTAAAGAGGAGGTGGAGTGGGAGACTGAGCAAGAGAGAGGCTGCAGGGTCTCTTCCTTCTGTTCATCCTCAGAGTAGCCAGAGTAGCTCGCAGAAGTACCTGCTTTGGCTGTTATCCAGTCAGACCTTGTGGCATCAGCACGCGGCCAGATGTTGCCTTCATAGTGTCTCATGGAACGTGCACATCTAAGGCTTTCAAAACAAACAACAACAAACAAAAACTTAAGTGGCATTTACTTCCTATCTAGTCTTGCATTCTCATCTAGAAGAGGCTACTTCTATTTTCAACAGAAACATGCAGAAAGACAGCAAATGCTTTTTTTCTTTTCTTTTCCTGCCTATATCTATTTGCATGGCAGCCGGTTTATCTCTACAAGTTGCTTCAGTTTGTCTTTCTCTTGGATTTATTTTTTTTTTTTTGTATGTAATGAATTCTATTTTCTATGAAATAACATGCCAGCACAGCTCAAATTAATAAAGTCATTAAGGTTGAGAAGATGACTAATATCATCTAGTCCAACCTTTAACCACCAAATTTACTGTGTCTTCCTCGATTACATGCTAAAGGTAAATTAATTCAGCAACAGCACAGAGTCTGTTTCACGAATCTGGTCACCAAGCTGTCGGAGTGAGATGAGCTGCAGTGGCCACAGCACCAGGAGGAAGACAGCTAACAGATCAGCAACCTCATCCAAAGGTACTGCTGACGGGGTGCCTTACTGGAGAGAGGGCAGAGAGCTGAGTTATCTTTTCTTGAACCCACCCATTATGTTTTGGACATAAATACACAACTATGAGGAGGCAATCAAGAGAAAAATCTGGTTTTATAACATTGCTGTTATAAAATTTTTCAGATTAAATGATATCTGATGGGAATTACTCCAGTTTTAGTTCATGTTTTACCATCTATACCATTAAACGTAGTTTTCTTAATCAGACAGCATAGGATCGAGTTGCATTTCACTTGCAGTGAATGATTCTTTTCTCCTCACCCTCTGAAAAGAAGGGAAATAAACGACGAGAGCAGCACTTCAAAAAAAGTGACATGCGTGAATGAAATGAGGTGGCTTTGTTTTGCTGTTTAGGAGAGTTTTGCTGGTATAAAATGAGCAAAAAGACAGAGTTAAAAGCTTCTGGAAAAGTGATGAAAGCTGCAGGAGCAAAGGGCAAGTTGTGGGAGATCAGGATGCTAAAATGGAACATTACAATGAATTAGCAGTGGGATGAGAATTACTCAGTGCCATTTAAAGGGAGGAGCACCTGGGTCCGTGGATAAAACTACCACAAGGCAAAGAATAGCTGCTGAGCTTTTATCCATGTCCTCCTCCCCTCAGAAAATCTTTCTGGTACCCTTTGAACTATGAATTGCAGAACTACTTCATCAGAAAACATGTTTCTTAATTAAAAAAATTAGAGTACTTAATATTTACTTTGAGAGTACAACTTGTAATATGAACACCTCGTGTTCTCCTGGGAATGACTGTGGTAAGGTTTCACCGCCTGTTATTTCAATAAATTACTGGCTGGTTTCCTTTCTCGTAATTTATTTTGCCTGTTTCATATTTCCTGTTGCCTTTACTTAAGGACTGGTCTTCTGAGCACTTCCAGCTGAAGCTGTAATTTGCTTTATGTGAACACAGTATTATTTCAGAAACTACTTGCATAATGGGATGTTAAGTTTATTACACAATGTAGGCCATGCGCCTCTTGCTCTCAGTTGTTCTGCTCTACGTACGTTCTGTATGAATGTAGCAGTGTGAATATCAAAATACATAAGAAGTGTGGGCAAACTACAGGCATGCATTTCATTGCATTGTAACTAATACCAAGGACAAGCTGATAGTCATGCAGCTTAGTCACACAGACCTGGTAACGTGTGTGTTGTGTGAGCAAGTGTGGATTTGATAGTCTGTTATTTCTGTAATATTTTTAAGTTGGAAATTATATCGAGACAGCTTACAAACTAACAGACAAGTAATATTTAAGAGCTCAGAGACATGCAGACAAATGACATCTTTGTATGGATGCAAAACCACAGCTGACAAACCTGATGCAGCTGAGCCTTTTTATAAAGATATAATTTATTTCCACTGCAGAAAAATATTGGCTGGTCATATGTTCAAGGTGAAGTGTGATGAATTAAAGAAGGTGCACAGAATTTAGGAGAAGCCAGTGCAGAAAGCTGTGTTGTCGCACAGTCCCTTGTTATTTCCAGAGCTGACACACTCAAAGAAAGAAATCCTGCCTCTGCTCAGTGAGTTCAGTTGAGATATTTAGTCCAACAGCAAGAACTGGTATCTTACTTTCTCTCCTTTGCTCTGTTTTACAGAATTTCTTGCAAGTCTATCAATCTCCAAGGTTTTTCTTTCTACCCAAGCAGTAAGCTGTGTTTTTGTCATGCCATAGTGGTATCTAAGTTATCATGACAAGAATAAGTTGGTGTGTGTCATTGTGATTGCACTTGTATTCCTAATGAAGTTTATATTGCAAGCCAAGGATTTTGTACAATCTTTCAGGTCACTTTTATAATGCAGTGGAGTGGTCAAATTCTTATGATGATGTTCTGGATTGGTCCTGTTCTAGTGAAGTGTAAGTGATTTTTGCAATGTTTGAGACTTACACGTTTGTCCCTGAATAGCTGTATTACAGACCTCCAGTAGCATCCCTACTTAATTCAGCTTTGATTGTTGTGTCTTAATCTTGGAAGCACCAATAGTACGTATGATGCCAAAACTTCAGTCAGCATTTTGTAGGTTATGTAAAAGCTTAAGCATAGTAACTTTCTGAGTGGAATTTGTCCTGATACAAGAACTGGTTCTTCCCTAGTAGTGACATTCTGGGTGTGCCGTTACTGGTGACAGGAGGCATTCCCTTCCATTAAACCAAGCCCTAACATGCAGCTGAATCTCTCTCTTGGAAAGTGCATCTCAATTCTCTTAACTTTAATCATATCAGCCAGCTCTCCTCAGAGGAAGTCTCTCTACTTGGGAATGCTGGTAATTTCTGCAACAATCAAAGACTGAACGTTAGAAGAAAAAACCCTTTCTATCTCTGCTGGCTGTGTTAGTGCACATGTTGCTCTGTTAGATGACAACGTGTAGCACGTTGTACGGAGCTGCAGTTATGGTCACCATCAGAATTCATTTGTACAGAAGCTATACCAGCACAACTATTAATGGGAGTACCTCCACCTGTTTTCACTGGCTTCATTAGTTTTCTTAATTACGTGACAGACACCATGTGAAAAGCAATGGGTCATACTACATTACGGTTAAATTTGTATTTTATAAGATTTGTAGATTTTTCTGGAGAAAAGCAGACTTTTGAACTATGTAACTCTAAGTGAATACAGATGCATGTATAACTAGAAAATCTATGCTTAACTGATAATGAAGGAATAAATACTATTAATACCAAATGTATTCTGTTGTTGATTTTTTTTTTTAAGACAGACTAGCATAGATAGCATTTTTTGAGAAGGATCAGGCATGTGCACAGTGAGACAAGTGTGACTGCTTTCAGGTAAATGCTCCATAAGCTGTAGCTGCACCTACTGGAGATGAAGTTGGAAAATTGCTCTCTCCAGAACTTGGCTTTCTTTTAGGTGCTGTCCAGAGACACACTCATCATCAGCTATACAGTGAATGAGACGTATTAGTGCTTGGGAATGAGATACAGAATTAACATTTCAGAAACGCTGTCATCCCATTTACTTGAAGGCCCTGAATGTAACACTGCAATTGAAAGTAGGGTTACATGTTATGCCAGGCTTTCTCCTCACACACAGACGCAAGGCTCAGAGCCGTACCAGTGATTGTAATGGTTCTTTACATCTTCACTCAAAGCATTTTAAGTAGTATGGCCATAGCCATTCACGTGACCTTCACTTTATAGTGTACATGTAGCCTGGGATCACCACTATTTATATTTTGGGCTTCTACCCATTTATTTCAGGGAATGAGGGGGAGAACACTGAGACTCAGTATATATATATATACTGACATATATATATATGTCAGTATACGTGAGATAAAATCCCAAAGGAGAAAATACTTTTGTCTTACCCACCTCGACGTTCCCTTCAAAATACAGAATAATTATGTGCAGTTGACACTGGAGGTTCCCAAGAAACTTTCCGGTCCGTAGAGGTCATATTCCTTGTACAGAATGTAGTCCTTCAAGCAATTTGGCAGTGGGAGGAAGGTCATGAAGACAGGACAACGCAGACGCAGCCGGCCCATGCATTCCCGTATCTTCAGGCGACAAAGATGCTTCAGGGAGCGAGGATTTGCTGGGAACCAGGAGATTGACATTAACGAGTGCCTTGATCATTTGGTGCAACTGCTCACTGCCCTACACCTATCAAAAGCCACTCCACATTTTACTGCCTGTCCTTTACTGCCTGTCTCTGTCAGATCTGGGCCCTGGACCTCAGCCCATGCCTTTATCAGCTATCAATCGGCTGACAATCGGCTAGCTCAACAAATTATGCTTATTTTACAGAGTGTAAGTAGTAAAGTTTGGGGAAAGTAACCCCAAATAACTGGTGCCAGCTCTTTGCCAGCCTCAAGAAGCTACTAAAAATCAGAATTTTGATGTCCTTGTTTTAATCTGTGTTCTAATAAAAAGGACACAGAATTAAGCTAGGCTAGAATTCAAATCTCTCACTTCTAGATAGTTACTTTATTAGAGTTGTCCATCAACATGAGGTGAGGGAAAAGCTTTTCTCCTACTGAAGAGGATTTTATTGCCTATGTTACACTGGAAATTCTCAGCTGCTCCACATAACCTGTGCTGTTACAGTCTGTCACAGCTATCAGACAGAGTTATCTGACATTAAACACTACATAGACTGATTTTCTTTTCAGAAACACCTTCTCCTCAAAACATAACTTTTGGCTTAACCAACCCTCAGGGGACAAAAACAAATCTAAAATAGCACCAACAAAAAGGTCCCAATCCCAGAGCAGTTAGTCTGCTGTTTCAAATCTATCAGATACTTACTTAAAATTGAATTGATGTCTGGCCAGAGCTCCTGTTCTTTGAGAGCTGCTTCCAGCTTCCAGCAGATGTTAACATGATCAACGTAATCTAACATTACTCGCACTACTTTCCCACAAAGATGCTTCAGCCATGACAAGGTTATCACTTCACAGAACTGATGGAAGCAAAACATTTTAATTGGAAAACATCCAGTACTTCTGCAGATTACTTCCTTCTCTGCAGGACAAGAGCAATTTTATAACTGCAGAACAGCAGGAAGGAGTGCCTGTTAGAGGAGCTCTAGGGGCTGTCACAGCTTGTATCAAGCCTGCAGTGCAACCTGAAAATCTGAGAGATGTTATTTTGTACTAGGCTAGAACTAAAAGTGAGCTTTAACAGCTGTATATCTGGTACCTAATGCTTAAAAATGGAATGCTACCATTCCTGACGAGGAATTCTTAAACCTCAATAGGAGATTTAAACTTCTTGGACATTGCTGGGAGAGATCTGTGTCCCAGCCTGCCAAACAGGACCGACCAGCCCAGTGCACCACATGCCTGTGTCAGTGGAATTGAGTGCATCCTCAGCAAGTTTGCTGATGACACCAAGCTGAGTGGTGCAGCTAACAACAAAAGGGAAGGACACCATCCAGAGAGACCTGGACACACTTGAAAAGCAGGCACCCAATTTAATGAGGTTTAATGAAGCCAAGTGTAAGGTTGAGGCAATCTCAGGCATGAGAATATACTGGGAGAACTCATAGAGAGCAGCCCTGCAAATGTCTTGGGGATCCTGGTGGACGAAAAGCTGGACATGAGCCAGCAGTGAGCTCCTGCAGCCTGGAAAGCCAACAATATCCTGGGTGGCACCAACAGAGGGGTGGCAGCAGGGAGAGGGAGGTGATTGTCCCCCTCTGCTCTGCCCTTGTGAGGCCCCATCTGGAGTACTGCACCCAGGCCTGGGGCACTCAGCACAGGAAGGACGTGCAGCTGGTGGAGCAGGTCCAGAGGAGGGTCACTAAGATGATCAGAGGGCTGGAGCACCTCTCCTGTGGGAGAGGGGCTGAGGGAACTGGGCTTGTTTAGCTTGGAGAAAAGATGAGTCTGAAGAGACGATGTAGCCTTCCAGTACTTGATGGGAACAGGTAAGCAGGAAGGTGACTGACTTGTTATACAGTCCGGCAGTCACAGGACAAGGGGAAACGGCTTTAAGCTACAAGAGGGAGATGTAGGTTAGATGTTAGGAAGAAATTCTGTACCGGGGCAGTGAGGCAGTGGCATGGCTGCCCAGAGCTGTGGGTACCCCATCCCTGCAGGTGCTCAAGGACATGAATGGGGCCATGGGCAGCCTGAGCTGGTGGGGGGCAACCAGCCCACGGCAGGAGGTTGGAACTGGATGAGATTCCTTCCAACCTAAGTCATTCGATGATCTTCAAATTAAATAAAGGCTTCTTACATTCGAATGGACTTTAAAATCCGCATAACAGTGGGTCTGAGAGGTGTATCTAGAAACTTGTTTAGGTCACTCCAGGTTTATCAGGTGGGTCCCTACATCAAACTTCCAGTATTAGTGACATGATGCAGTACAGCTCGCAAGCCAGTCTTTCAGTTCCTGCTTTCGCAGCATGGACATGCGAGCAAATTCTGTGCTAGTCATTAGCTGTATTTTCACAATTGTAAAATACAGATTATGATAATTCATTGCCATGAACTAGGTCTCGTGGCAATGTTAATTTAATTTGAAAGCGCTGTCTATTCCTAATTTTATGAGTAAAGCATTTAAAACTTTTGTTTCTGACAGATCAATTTAAGTACATTTTCATTTAGCTTTACAAATGACACCGGCAGTAAAAGGAAACATACGAAGCCATGCGATGTACTCACCTTTGTATCTTTGATAACAGTAGAAGTCCATCCATCAGTCATGTACTGGGAATGGGACACATCTCCCCGAGGGCAATCGAAGCAGCGGTGCACATCATAGCCATAGTTCATCAGCATTCTTAACATGACTTCATCTTTCAGAGCATACTGCAGAGCCGATGGGAAATGCGTTGTGTTCACTCTGCAGAAGTAGTTAACATTGGCCCCGTGCCGGAGCAGTAAATTCATTAACTCATAGTTGCCCATTCTCAAGGCTATTTGGAGGCAGTTGATGGGATCCTGGTTTGGCAGGGCTCCAGCATTCAACAGCAGCTGTGCTGAACTGATATCCCCATTGGAAACAGCAAAGTACAGGGCTGATTTCCGGCGGTCGTCGTAGCCTTTGCGAATTCTTTGATCCAGCATAAAATTGGCATCAAACCCAGACTTGAGGAGAAACTCGAGGCACTGAGGATGTGCTCCCGCTGCTGCTGAGTGAATTGGACTTATTCCACTTTCTTTAATGGCATCAAAATTAGTAACTGGAACTAAATTCTTTAAGGCACTGAAAAATAAAGACAATAAGGGAATCTGGTCACACAGCTCAATCTTCATGTTGCTGGGCTTTACAGTTCATTCTGACTATATTCCACAGTCTTAATCTGCCAAATCAGTACCACAGCATGCTGTACCTCTGCATTAATTGCTAAGGATAAAACAGCCAGCAATGGATACTATGATTTTACATTTACTAGTCATAAATTTTAATACTGCTCTTCACGAACACTGCATTCTATGCTAGCAGAATAATCATTCCTTCTCAATGAGAGCTCTCTGGGGACGTCAAGAGCACTGTGCTGTTGCACAGCCCCTAGGAATTAGGGAATTAACACAACATAGTATTAATTCCTACAACACACAACTAACATAACACAGCATCCTACTGACATTCAAACAATACATTGAAATTAACACAACATTTAAATGCAATTTAAATATATGTATTAATAGAGGAATATAACATTCTTAGATTTTTAAGCACAACAGAACAATCCCGGAGTTGAAGAGCTGTTTCTTACTCATTAGTTACAAATTTAACATTAGTAAAATTAATATCTTTGGTCTCACTATTACTTGGTTTACATTAACTCACAGAAAGTGTCCTCTATACGCAGCTCTGTGGATTGGCAAATGACCCGAGTGCTTTGGCACATTAGCATCAGCCCCATATTCCAGCAAAAGATTCAGAGAGTCTGGATTTCCTCCTCCTGCTGCTTCAAATAATACAGAAGAATAATCCATTGCCTGTGAAAGAACATCAGCACCTGGAAAGAAACATTAAGGATTTTCACAGTGGTCACCGTAAATATCCAGCAAAAATCACTGTCCCCCTCCAGAGACAAGATACTGTCCCAGGCTCAGCTCTTGTAGGCTGTTGAGGATTTCCAAGCACAGAGACTCCACTACTTCTCTGGGCAACCTATTCCAATGTTCAACACCCTTCACAGAAAAAAAAAGTGTTTTGCTGTGTTCAGACGGAATTTCCTAGGTTTCAACTTGTGTCCATTGCCACTTGCAAGGAGAAGAATCTGGGTCTGCCTTCCTAACACCCTCCCATCAGATACTGCTAACATGGGCAGATCCCCCTGCCCTAAGCCTCCTCTTCCTACATCATAATGTCTCACCTTTTTGCAATAAGAGCTCCATAATTTCTGTATGTCCAGCTTGTGCAGCCAGCGCTAGAGGTGTGAGCCCATATCCACTGCGAGGGTCAGGATCTGCCCCAGAACGAAGCAGAAGCATCACCAGATCCTTTCTGCCAAGCCTGGCAGCCTCGTGTAAAGCAGTCCTCTTGTGGATACACGGCAAATTCACCTTTGCTCCAAAATTTATCAACAAGGAGGCAACCTCATATGAATTGTGCTTAATTGCTGTAAGAAAATAATGAAAGCATTAGCCAGAATGTCAGACTGTTGCCTAGTTTCTGTTGGGTGGCAGCCCAGGAAAGCTCAAGCTGTTCCCAGCACTGCTATTTATACACCAAGAAACATCGCGCTGAAAGGTTTAAGTTCTCACCAAGTCTGTTCCTTCTCTACAGGGTATGATAAATTAGGAATAATTTTATGATAATCTCCTTTTCTGCTGGTTCCTGTTGCAGCCTTCCCTGCCACTAGATGGAGATCACATACTGGGGCACTTACTGCAGTCAGGAGCTGGCCTGCTCCGTTAATCATCACAGGCAATTGCCATAAGCATGAAACAAAGACTAAAGTGACTGTGCCACATCCAAAATGACTGTGTCCTTATCTTAGCAAGCCTGATCTGTCAGGACAGTGAGGGAAAGGACAATACTTCAATTAACAAATAATGCTCAGAACTTTGTAGTGACAGTCCCTAACGTGGAATGTCAGCTCAATTAAAGCCCTGATATCTTTTAAGAAAGACAAACAATACATTCAATGCTGAAATTAACATTTTTTGCTCCTCGTAACAAAAAATTTTAAACTCTGCGCAAGTCAAATACGTAAAATTGCAACCTACTGCATGTAACTACAAACTCACCTCATTCTCTCACCTCCCTACCCCCAAATAAGACACTCACCTACAACTAAAGGAGAATCTCCATCTTCATTCTTAATATTGGGATTGCAACCATTGAGCAGTAGAAAGTGGACGTTTTCCAAAAAGCAGTTTCTGACTGCCACCATGAGAGGTGTTTCCCCTCTTAGTGTGGTCTGTTCCCATGTAACGGAACGGGAGGCTGGAATTCAGAAAAGCAGTACACATCTGAAGCTGAAGTTATTCATCAAATCTAGCTTTGTAAAACGTTCTAGTGGAAAACCAGAAAGCACCCCATACCTTTTAAAGTTATTTCAAGGATGTTCTTATTTAGCTGAGCTGCAGCCTCATGCATAGGAAGCCAGCCTTGCTGATCTGCTTCCTCAAAAGCAGAACTGTGCCTCACCAACTTCTTCAAGGCCTCTTCTTGGCCTGTGATATTTTGGAACAGATGTGTATTTCATTACTAATCATAAAACAAAATTAAAACTAATAACATATTGAGTGATATTTATCCCAGCAGCATATCAAGAATAAAAAAAACCCCATACCTTATCAAAGCAATTTTTTATCAAAGGGTGGTTTATGTGAATGGAATAATCAGTGATTCACACTGACTCAAAGCATTTTGAAGGATACGCTTGCTTATAATTAATACAGCTAAAATACTTAAATTACAATCCTCTCATGTATAACAGTGCAGAGGATTTTAGTGTATTAAGCAAACAGGTGTCCTAGTGAAATTGTATGGAAAATATTCAGGTTGGCAAAAGCAAAATTAAGCTGACAACTGAGATGAAACTCATTCCTGCTTCCACTAAAACCCTTACTGGAATTCTAATTAACAAAAGTGATTATGTTTTCAATTTGATATCTCGTGGAGAAGCAATGAAACTTCAGCTGACGAGAATGCCTGTAAGTAGAGGTCCTGACTGTACTGTTTGTTTTATCCCACCATTCCTGGAAGAAGGCAGTCTGCTCTCCTATTAGCTACAACTATAAGGTACTGCGATAGACTGCTTTCAAAGAATTGTATGTTCATTAGACTAGACACAAAGTTCAACTAGAGTCTAGGCACATTCTGCATTGTGTGGTACAGTTATTGCACCTGCTTTTCCAAAGGAGCCTTGAGGTCGTGATTCTTACTCCACTAAATATTTCTGTAACTACTTGCTATGTGTATACGGACTGGACAGAAGGCTTCCCACTGTCACACCACTGTCTAACAGCTGTCCTTCTTGTGCTCCTTTTTTAGCTATCTCTGTGACTATGTAAAGTGATTCTATCAAAAAAAGCAAGTTTCAAGAGAACAGACAAACAGCCTCCCACATAGGAATAATTCTGGCACACTTCAGGTAGAGATGGGATTTCAATCTGGTTATCTCACAAATTGGCAAACACTGGTTAATGAGGCATTAACTAATAGGGACGTTGCTATCCTGTTAGTTAATTTTATAAGAAAGGACTGGCATTCATCCTTGATTCTAGGAGACCAAGTACCTCAATCTCAGAGAGGAGTGACATCTGAACCTGCTCCATTACTGTGTTCCTATTTAATAAAAGCCAGCTGTTGTGTGCCCTGTTTTCAGTTCCCTAACTCTCTCCAAAACTACATAAAGAAAAACTGCACTTAAAATAGCTGATCAAACACAGAATGTGGGCATTGTGATTCCTAGACAGAGGGTTGTGGTGTGGTGTATTTGTACTTAACTGTCCGGATTGCAGCAATTATCTCTTCACGTTCTTTGCTTGCAACGCACAGGAAACTGCACAAACACAGCATTACAGTGCTATAATTAATGAGACATTCAGTTCATAATTACACATTAGTTTAAGCCAATCAAGTCTAAACAGCATTAGATTTCTTTAACTTGTGTGAGTTTTGTCAGTGTAACACATTAAAATGCATTTTTGTAGGTCTTCTTGTGCCACTATAAATTTTGGCTTTCCAGCAAAGGACAACAGTTAAATACTGAAACAAGGAAAAGCTGTCACACCAACCTGTTGGTTTTTTTGATATTTGCTTTTCTTCAACAAACCCTTGCATTCATTAAGATATTAGGCTTTTAGTTATTAGACAAGCTGTCACCAGAATGCTTCATACATTCCACATTTTAGACAAGATAGGCATGCTTTTCTAGGGAGAACTCCGAACAGACAAGCTACAAGTGACCTGTGGTATCCACAAGACAGGGTCAGACGTCATAATGCCAAGAAACCACCAAAAATAGAAGTAGTAACTCATTACCTTTCATCCTCTATTGCATTGGCACTTCTTTCCATTTTATGAATATCTTGTAAGCTTTCCTGAATAGCTTGCTGGGTGGGGATTTCATCGTCAGAATGATCATCAAATATGTAAACAGAATTATGCATAGCCAATTGGCACAACCTGGATCACCTCTTTGTAGGAAAACACTGCTTTTTAATTGGATGCAGATGTTAAATCTTCAGGTTATGTCTGGAGTAATAGAAACAGCAATCACTGTTTAAGTATCAAGAGAAACAAAGCACAGCCTAAATTAACTTAATCAGAACTTCTCCAACTCAAGCTCCAGCATTCTGCCAAGCATTCAGTTTGGACCAGTGCAGAGAGAACTGCCTTGTTTAGAACATAATAAAGGTTTCTAGCCCAATAGCACACACTGGCTTTTATCTCTATTCTACAGAATGAACATACAGAACAGCTACTTTTTCTAGTATTACTGGAAAGCAGCAAAAATAAGTAAAATACATTTTTGAGGTAGTTTAAGTAGCCCTTCCCTCTTAAATCTATACACTCAAACATCACAGTCCTGCTCTGATTGTTCCTTAGCAGGAAAACAGATCTGAAACAGAATTTGGGATGATTCTTTTGTTTGTTCACAGGTGCCAGGTGGTGAACAGTTGGTGAAGGACACGAACATTTTTGGCAATATGTTTCCTCAACCTATTCCACAAAGTTATCACTAGAGCCATATCCTGCAGTAAAAAACAATACTGTAGATTAGTGCTAACAGTCCGTTCTAACGTTATGTGCTACATTTATCTTCTGATTGAAACAGCATCAAATTGTTTGATTGAAAAAAGACCAGACATATATATCATCTCATATACATCATCTACAGCCATGGGGAACAGATATACCACAACTGTTCATTCCTTGTTAACACATACCTGCACATCTACTCATAGATGTAAACATTTTATAGATTATCTGACACACTATTCTTTTGCATATTCAACTACTTGGCATTAGAGATTAAAATCAAAGGAGTTCTATTAGACTCAAGCCTTTCACCTCATGGAAACTTCCACTTCTGTTTTTCAAGAGAGCTGGCCTGAAAACAAATAAACAAATAGTAACAAACAAACAAAGCCAAGAACACAGAACGGGATAATAAAATAAAATAAAATATAATAAAAAGTGAGGATAAATAAATGATCAAAATGAATAAGCACAGCAAAATAAAGGAAGTTGTCAACACAGCTCTTAGAAACTTTGCAATACTTATAGAAACATCTTAAAGTCAAGCAGCAGCAATTCACAGCAAGCTTGCATCATTTACCTGATCCAGCAACATGTGACTGCGAGGTCTTGCTCTGTAATTGCACATGCATCAAGAAAGAGCAACACGTTAAGAATAAACACACAAGGAATGGCTAGAATTTGATTATATGTACAACACAATACGTGTACATACACTTGTTTCTTTTCAGTACTAATTCTCCTAATAATCAAGAGAATGCAGTTTTTTCCTCACCTTCTGAAAGAGAGAAAGCTTCACACTTTGAAGAAGTGATTAAGTTGAAAGCGATATTTTCAGGACTGAAAATGATCTCTGTAGAGTCTGTGTCCACGAATAGCTCTCTATAAATAACTGATCATAAGATACTCTGGGACTTTCTCCATGTTACTTTCATACAGGTTAGTCACATTTGATAATCTAATCTGACAAATGGTGTCAGCAAGAGAAGAAATTAGAAATGCACTTTATTGACAAAAATACTCTTGTTTACAATTCATGGAATGAGAATTTGAGAGCTACAGAGAGTAACTGTTCAGTTATAGAAAGGAAATTGTTAGTGATTTCCTAAGAGGGAAACTACAGACACCGTCAGCAGCTTCTTTAAGAAAAATACAGGGCAGTATATAAAGAAAACTATATAAAAATGAAAGTAAATATAAATAAGCAAAAATCAAGAGAGTACCCTATGAAAATTACTATGAGCTTCTGGTTGCCAAATCACAATTTACATTCTATTATAAACAGAAAAGCAAACAAAAGATAATACAGTCTTTAAAGGAAAAAGCAAAGTTTCAGAAATGAACACCCCAAACTGCTTATAACTGTAATACACAGTAAGCAAAGCAATGGTGGATGAAGCTGCCTAGATATAATGGGAAAGATGGGTTTTCTGTGCTTAATTCACTCCTAGAACTAGTTCTTTAGTAGAGGAGATCTAAGGAAAAATGTTTGATTAATTATTATTGTTACTATTTTTTTAAGAAAACTAAATTGCAAAATCCTTGAAGGATCTGAAATTGGAGTGCCTCACCGGAGCAACAAAAAAAGACGAAATAACATTTCAGGCAAGTGGTAATAAGGGAGATATCGATAATTTCTCTGTAATGGAAACAATTTAGAAAAGAAAAAAAAACAGTAAATCAAAAAATCTGAACTATATCTTGAAAAGATGGATTTGTTGAGCAAGGAAGGGACTTGGAAGTGCCTATTACAGACAGTTCAACAATTTACTGTATTGCAATTTTCACTGTTGTGACAGAGCACAGGCTGTGCGAAACACAGCACAAAAATCCCCACGCTTCCTGTGTGCCGGGTTTCCACTCACAGGACTCAGTGCTCCTCATGCATTCCAACCAATGAACTTTCGTGGTATCTCAAAGAAAGCACAGACCATTTTTTGTTTCTCATTAAGATATATTTTGTAGTATTTGTGCAATGCATAAAATTGTTGTTTACACATTAAGACTGTTACCAGAGGCTAAAATCCTACCTGCATCTTTTGCAGTTTGTAAGGGTGCTAATAATAACACACACTTATTTAAGGCAAAATACTGGGGATCAGAAACACACCCCCTTTTAAGATTACAAAAAAAAAAAAAAGCAAACAAACCCCACAACTACAGAAGTTGCCTGCAAAAAGCATGCTGCACTTCTGTGAGCAAATAAAAAGGAAAGTATCCTGTGACATTTGTATCTTATCTGAACCACGCGGGATCAGTCATCCAGCTGGCAGAGCAACGCAACACCTCGCTTGATCCAGTGCTGGACTGGCTGATCCGTATTGAGTGTCAAAGCAATGACGAAGTTAGTGGAATGCCCAGTGGTAGACAGGACTCCTTTACGCTCGCTCGTCTTGTACAGCGGGCAAACATACGCGTTAGGCTTCTTGACATCCGATTTTGCAGCTTCAAAGAAGAAAAAAAACAGCAATATGCTGTGTAAAGCAGATACACTGATGGGGACATGACCTACATATAGTTGTTAAGTACTTACAGCAACATTCCTAATGCTAAATAAAGATTGCGAAATTGTTTTGTGTGCCCCATAATATTTAGCTTTTTCTGTTGTTTTCTTTTGTGATTTCTTCATTTTTAAGAACAAAAGAAAAGTAATTTAATTACAATTCCATTTCAAGAATCGATGTTTTTCTGTGATTCTACCAACTTTGTAACTATTCAAAACCACATACAGATCAGCAGGTCTGCACGAATAAAGCATTCTGCTTTCATCTTGGGATTACAGCTGAGACACAATATCTTGAAATTAATATTTCAATAAGAATTCTAGTCCTGCAGCCACAGAACATAACTGCAATACAAATCCCTGGAGATTCAATGATTCTTGTATACCTAGACTGCTTACATGCAGCTTGCAAAAAAATCTGGTTTAAAATCATGCACTTCTGAGAACAGATTCATTCAATGGAATGTACAGGCAGAAAAGGTAGAAGCTTTGTATAACTGCCAATTATCTACTCACAGCTAAGTTGCAACAGCTGCAACATAACGTCTTGCTTAAGCATCTCCTCAACTTGAGAAGAGGCAGAAATTCAAAGACCATTTAGTTTTCCTAACAAGGTTGTATCTTTGTTGAGAACCAGACTGGGAAGCAACTACACATATTTATAATAGTTAACTTAAGTAGGCAGTTGGTCAATTGCATAACTACAAACACCTGTGAAGAGATGGACAGGCCGACTGCTTGAGTGAGATGAGACTGAATGAGTCAACACAGCAAACACAATTTTTTATATCAGAACCAAAGGTCAGGTGCACATGAATTCTGTGTACATCTGGGTACTTCGGTGAGGATGGGAGCATTGGTCTTCAGTACTTACTTGGCTTTATCCAGATGATTGGCATCATATCAAAGAGTAATTTGGGATACTGCTCGGCTAATATTCCCCTGGTGACAGAAAGCAATGAAATAGTTATTTGTGGCTGAATGCTGCTTTTCTGCGTGCTTTTCATTTTCCACACATAAACCGCCTTCCATCCAACAGTGAACTTTAAATTGTGTTTCCAGCTTATGAGTAACCACGTAGTCACAGGAGTACAATTGTTCTGAGGGAAGTCCAGCTTTCTGTAAAACTACTGCAATCAAATAAGTCATCAAGAATGGCACTTATTCAGCAGGTGGAGCACTCATGTAGGGAAGAAAAGAAGAATAGGAAAGGATCAAAGATGACTCAGGACAGCCACCAAACAATCCGAAACAAACAAACAAAAAAAACAAATTGAGTCTGTGCATGAAATACACCTGCAGCTGAGGCTGCCAGACAACTGTATGAAATACTTGGATTTGACTGCAGATCAGCACATCACAACATTTCCAGCAGAACAATAATTTAAAAAGCCACTTTTATTTTCTTATCTTGAGGCCAAAAGAAGAATTAAAATATTTTCAAGTGTGCTACTAACACAGTATGTAAAGTAGCACTAAAAAAACTTAAATTTTATCTGAGCAGCTAAGAAAGCTTAATAAAACTGTACTTAATATATTTTGTTACTGACTTGGTTCTGTCCCAGCGAGCTCCATCTAAAAATAATCCATGGATATAAACACCATCTTCTGGTGCAGTATCAGCAGTATCCTGAGGAATAACCTATAAAAAAAATAAGTGCTATGTATTAAGAAGCTTCCACAGCTGTTTGTTTTTGTGGGTATTAAACCAACAGCCAGTTTTCAAAAAATCAATCTATAATGAAAGCAACGTAGTAAAATCTTCCTTTGGGCACTGCTATTACAGAAAATCATAAAGACAGCAGCTTTCTGTGGTCTGTTATTTACCTTTACTGCAGGTTACAAAGGCTTTAATAACACACATAAATATTTACCTTGTAGGCTGTTTTTGTTTCAAGTGGAGGTCCAGGTCCAACAGATAGAACCAGTTTCTCTCT